GATCGACATTTCAGGATCATCTTTCCATGATGAATCCATGACAAAGTGATGCTGCTACCCGCTCTCCACACTTTAGCTCTGGTTTTTTCTTCTAAGAACTCAAAATATCACCCAGCTTTTCTCCCTGTTTCCATCTTGTGGAATCTCCACGGCGTACTCAAAGCTCAAAATATCGCCCGGACTCTATGTTCACACTCGCCTTGACTCCCGAAGGCACCCATTACACACTATTCTTCCCTCCGTCTCCCAACCAATCGGAAGCTGCAGTTGTATTTTACCTTACTTGTAAAGTAAAAAATAAATGCATTATTATAAAGAATTTTTTTAAATGGAAATTGAGTCTGCTCAGGCGACTATCTGTATTAACGACCATATGTTTTCTGCGACAACATTTCATTCCTCCCGGACATTTTTACTAACTTATTTAACTGTATTAAGTAACCATCCGTCTAATGTGACAAGCGACAACTCATTACTGACCCAAATATTGTGCTAAACGACCATATTAATTTTGGTCAAATTTGCTGGTCGACTTTAAATTTACGACTCACCAAGTTTGACGATAGGCTTCTTAACGATCATTTCACACACTCTAAATTATATTGGTTACTTTCATAATTATCAATCAACTATTGCTCAGTTATTCACCTGAACTCTTGAACATACATGTTTAAATGTGCGCTTGGAATGTTGGTCTGTTTACGGTTGTCTGAAGAAGAAGTTCGGCTAGTCGGTCGTGTAATTCTATAAATAATAAGGTCAAACGTTGTAAATCGAACGTTCTATCTAACGACCGGTTTTTTAGGTGTTCTCTTAATACAGATTCAATTGTATATGCATATGTCAAGAAAACAAACAGGTTTACTTACATATCAACTAAAAACACCAGAGTTTATGACGTTCTGTATGGAACCCAACTCAGTACCGGAAGAAGCAGAAGAAGAAGAAGAAGAAGAAGAAGAAGAAGAAGAAGAAGAAGAAGAAGAAGAAGAAGAAGGAGAAGAAGAAGAACATGAAGAATAAGAGACACATCAAATATGACATCATCAAAACTTTATGCGGCTTTTCTTACAATCGGCTTGAACACAACTTACAACAATAATAAAAACAAAATATAGAGAAGGAAAGCAGGGTAATTTGGTAGATGACGTTTTGTCCTATTTAAGGTCGTCACCGGTCGTTTCTATTTTAACATGTAAATGAAATGCGATTATAAACAGCACGATGTTCGTACCATTCGGTATGAACTACCCATTATGGAGACAGGCCCATACGGTTCTTATATCTACACCTCTCGTGTCACATGATCACGACATATCTCACGCTTCTTTATCCTATTTCTTGCCGTCACAAACACAGCGGTGATATCGCGTATTTGCACGGTATCGAACCGAAAATGTTCAAATAAAAACCAATAACATTAACTAAACTGTAAGATATAAAATGGTATTGATTAATAAACTTAAATTCGACGACAGATTATAAAATTTCTAGGCAAATGACACTTTACTACTTTTAAAGACGTGCATGGTACGTAAATCATTCTGTGACTGAATCACCAGATTAGTCTGAAGCCCCCGACAGATCTCAGTAAGGGCTGAAGAAGCCATACCCGTGATAAGTGCTTAATTGGGGAGACTGTTAAATGTTTGTTTAAAACTTAATTATGATTGTACGTGCCACTTTCCATTGAGGTACGAACATCTTCATGTAAAATGAGAGATATACAAATAAGAACCGTAGGAACTTGTCGCCATAGTTGGTGGTACATGTAGGTACCGAATGGTACAAACATCACATTTACTATAAAAAAAAGTACATTTTTATCAAAAGTTTTTTTTGTGTTTTAATTTGAAGCACCTTATGGTAAAGTATGTTATTTGAATTTAGTTGTGATGTTTTGTATGTATGCATATTTTGTACACTTTGAAGTTCGTCCGACACGTAAAAATCTCGCTTACCTCGCTGAGTACGTTGTCTACCAAGTTTTCCAAATATGATACATTTTATTTATCATCATTTTTAGTTGTGTATAATTTAATGGTGGTTTAATGATGCTTTCGATCATCATTGTCTAGTTATGGTTTAAGCAAGCTTTAACGAACCGTTAAGCAGAGATTTACGTTGATGAACGGTTTTGCAACATCATTATTGTGTTTTTGGCGTCATACTATTTAATCAAGGTTTAAAGACGGTTTAATTTGTTATGAATTTTTAATAATCGTTCGATCAACCGTTCCCTGAGGTTTCGCAGTGTCCTATCTTTTTTTGCTAATGTTATGTGCTAATGATAATTTCTCTTTTCCATAGAGCCCATTGCTTTCTCTATCATAAAATATATTGATTGTAATCTGACTATGTCTCGTAGTAGCCGTTGATATTTTAACGTGTTTGATAAAGTTTCCTGGGGGGTTCATTTTATGACACATCCTTTCATCCCGGACGTAACTTTGTGACTCTTTTTGAACCGATTCTAAAAGTTCAATTTCCTTTATTTCGTGTGGGTTTCAAACGCATAACCCATATTCCATGCGTGGGTCTAACTACGGTTTTAAATAGTTAACGAAAAATGCTTTCGTTTAGGTACACAAACGACCTCTATATTGGTACATTGATTGTATTAACCTTTTAAGGAGGCACGGTAGTCTATTGGTAGGAAGCCGGGCTCGTAACCGAAGGGTTGTGGGTTCGAGGCACGGCACTGTGTTATATCTTTGAGCATGATACTTTACTCCTTTTGTTCCAGTCTACTCAGCTGTAAATGAGTACATGGTTGGGCAGTGCCAGAATTGTTGAATGCTAACTGTGAGCACTAAAATGACAGCACCGGCTGTTTGCTCCCCAGTGAGTTGAGAAAGATGTTGGCTTGTTGCAAAGGCCCTATAACCACGGATAATAATTTGTGAACTACTTTGAGACGACCTACGAACTTGGTTGTAATAAAGCGGTATAAAAGAACCTCGAATTATTATAATGATTATGTTATTTTCCATTTTATTAAAGTGAGTTTGCGAGGTGAGAATGAAACTAAAGTTGCATGATACAACTTATACATATATATCATACAGAAAGAGAATATATATAAGAAACAGTAGCGATTTAAGGACCCTTCAGTGTGGTATTCCGGTCAGAACCGGGTACGACTTTGATACTGTATTGTTACACTTGTATATGTTGCAGTTGTTAATATTGTCGTGTTCAAATGGCTATTTGATCATTCTACTAGCATGACTTTCAGGATATTTGAAAACTTGATTGTCACCTACAGTCGCCATATTTAGTGTGTTGATAACGTATGTTATACCCTGTACCAGGATGCGTAAAGAATGGTAGAAACATACACACTTTTATCTAATCAGGTCAAATTGGACAGTGTTTATTTATTTACGAGCTACACGATAATCCTTTAAGGTAATTATATACTTTAGACTGGACCTCGATGTCGCATAACGTGATATATGTGCTATTGTTTTCAATCTGTACACTATTTTCTTATTACATTAATGACATTTGTTCCAAAATATATCGGATTCGAGCTTATTTTCAATTGCTTAAAATTGTTACTGTAGTCTTTAGAGATTTTCTTTAACTTTAGTTTCCCTTATGATTTCCTTCCTAAAGTGCATTATTTCCCCCTTTGCCATTAGTGATTGCGCTTCTCTACCAAACACTATGGAAATCATGCAAAGCACTAAATGATTATATTTCAACGTCACAAGATTGTGAGGTTTTCCTGTCCAAAAACAACGCTTTAAACAACATTATATACATAAGAGTCGCCAGGCAATTGGTTTAGAAACAGATTATGCATCTAATGTACTATTTTTCACTTTGAAAACAAAATGTTGATAGACAATTTTTCACATTTACTCCATTACGTGGAATAGAAAATTACCAACGTCGCCGTATTATATCATTATCTTTATACATAACTATTCAAATCCTCATCTAATGGTAATACCATTTTCATAAAGGTACAGCTATGCAGCACTTATTCACATCTGTACGTATAAACAGCTTTCACATTATAGCTTCCCGTGTTCAATTTACTTGGAATAATTCTCATTACAAAAAACAAACGCAACTGAGAAAAAACAACTCTTTAACAAACGAAGCTTTTGTAATGGGATTTACAAGTTATCCAATCCCCTTAAAACGTGTCCTTATTTCAATACATACTAGTGTTTTCTAACCTTTTTGCTAATCGATATGGTTATAAGGAAAACATTAAAAGATATTAGACCTGCGGTTTCGGCATTAAACTTTGATTGTTCTAATAACGCGGAACAATCGGAAGGTTGTGTTGTAATGTAATTATACGATCCCTAATCGTACTTAAATTACAGTATGACTGTCACTGTATCCCAAACTCTACACGCCACCAAGACGACGTAATTGCGTCACCATGGTCGGGGTGTAATTTACAAGATGAGTAGAGCTATCGTTATAACACACGCTTCACTCTTTTTCTATTTCTGAAGATACGTGATCCATTAAGTTTCGTAATGTGTGTGATATTAACACAGTCTAGTTTTAAGGAAATACTCAAAACCTATTAGGATGAAATGTTAATTCTATTTAGGCGTTTCATTGCCCCGTTCTATCCCCAACAGTCGTAGAAAATGTGCCGACCCCCTTTTCAGCCGATATGTGGCTGGTGCTGAGGGATGAACTATTGCCTTAAGTCACAAATTCATTCCAGGCATTTTAATGTGAATAAGATTGTTTCACACATTAAAGATAATCGATAAACGAGCAACATAAAATCATCAAACTAGATACAAAATGCAGAAATAAACTGAATCTTTTGTCATTCTATTCATAGAGTGTTTACATTTTGATTTGTCTTACCATTTTCATTTCTGTTTATCACAATATATTTACACATATTATGTACATGCATATACAAATTGTCTATATAGTATATAAATCATATCATAGATGGATTGTATAATTTATCATATTTATACAAATTGCTAATACATTGTTTATGTATGTTTAAAATTTGCTTAATACGAACATTTTTTAATATAGAACGTAGGATATTTTTTGTCTTTCTGCCTGCGAATTTATGCAAGGAGCATGCCTCGTATTAAAATGCGTCCTCTTTTTCATTTAGTTTTAGTGTACCTGAAATAAATCGGAAATAAAACGTGCTAGGGAATAAGTGAGATGATAGCATGACATCCTCCAGATTTGAAGTGCATTGATGAAATATATGCATTCGTTTTAATTGAATAAGAGGTCAATATCTCTGCCTTTATATATATTTTTTCACACGACATGGACGTTTAAAAATATTCTCATATCTGTGGTAACAAGATATTTGTAATTGGATCAACCTAGTTTCAGTGCATTAGGTCTTCGATGCCGAAACAACAAACTAAACTCATCAGTAGACATCTTGTATTCATCAGTGAGCAACACATGTATATACTGATCACTTGTTACTATCAGAAAATGCGTACAGATGTCAGCTATTTACATACTATGTTCATCAGAGAACAACATATACTGATCAATAACCACGTGTTACTATAAGACAAACGCATACAGTTGTCAGTTATATACATGTATCCATCCCAGAACGACAGCACACAACATGTCAGTATCAGTTAGCTACGCACAAAGCTCGGTAACCTGTGTTGATACATAAGTCAACTACGTTTATTCATTAGCAGATATCATGTATCCATCAATAAAAACGTGCTTTAATCAATGAACTACATTGTTTACCAGTAACTTAAGAGTTATACTCTGTAAGCTTTTTTTATTTCCATCAGTGACCGAACGTGATATAACCATCGAACAGCGGTATGTATCAGGATGATATTTGTCAGTAAACTGTGCGTTAGTACCACTAACTACATGTACGAACATACGTGTATCATATTAATTAATTAACGTATCAAAGTTAACAGCAGAAATTAATCATAGAAAAAGTAAAGAAAATCAATAATTAGGCAGACTTGCTGTGTTATACATGCATTCATCCCATCATTTTCATCTAATCATCAGCTAAATTATCATCTTTTCATAATGTATTCTTACGTTACAACCATCCATAAAAATTAAAATGCCTAAATACATATATTCTGATTCTCTTTAACATCCACTGTCAGATAATTAACGATTGATTGATGGATTGATGATCTCAATATTCATATATATATATACATTAATACATCTTTTCAAAACTTAGTAATAAACCAATCAAAAATGTACAAAAGAATACCTGAGGTACAATCTATGTGATCACCAACATAATAGTGCCAGCATATCAGTGTCATTAATAAACAGTCGACAATACCTTTGTCAAAATAAATACATTTCATTACAACACCGGTTTTGAAGCATTTCATCATTAACAATTATAGCCTAGTTTAAAAATTTACGATATTGTTTTTTGCCACTGTTCATATCTCACTTACACTTTCTACAGTTAAAGGAGCTGATTCCCCATTGTCGATAGCAAGTCTAGATAATTTCAGTGGTACTTTCTCCTGTGTGTTGACAGATCGATTCGAGGATTGCATCCGGACAGACCGGTAGGAGCTATAGGGTCCTAGTGATTTGGAGGAGTGAGACATGTTCATAGTGGATGCCCGGAAGTCCAGCATGACGTTGGTTGACCCCGTCAGAAGCATTGACCCGGTAAGAAAGTTTGAGTCTTTAAACAGGACGGAGGCCACAAAGCGGTCGTCTTCGTCAACATTCACGTCTTTCGGACGCCATATTGTAGACAGCAACGTCAACACCGAGGCGAGCGTAAATATGGCACCTGAAACAGAAGATACTTTAGTATAGATAGCAGGTGTGACAGTTAGGTACGTACTTGATTCCTCTAGATGACGATACAGCTATATAAGTATGGTAATGTCTGTCCCATTGCAAGTAAAATACTCCAAAATTTCAGGGATCGAATCCCGGTCGGCCACTATTGCAAAGTATACTCTCAGAACATAACGTAGTTGAATTTTGTTTCTTCCATCTTAAATCATGTTTTTATAAAGTTCCGAAAGGTATAGGTTTATTTTTTCAAATGCTATTTTAATACTTAACTTGATCTGTTGTCATAGCGGTGAAAAGGTTCCAATTCATTATATACAGTTCTTCATAGTGATACGAAATCGTTCACAGAAAATCCTTAACATTGAAGTCTAATGAAGGTTATAGTAAACACATATTAATTAAGTCTACAGGATTAAGTTTTGTCATCATATGCTAAGAAATGAATTTCAATGAGATTTAGACATCTACCATGAACATGATTTTGGATAAAAAATAGAACATGCCAGTTGGAGTTTTTCAAACAATCTTGATAATACCATGACATTTTACAAAAAGGGAATCCTGTCAGCAAATCTGTTTCATTTAATATTGGCGATGTTATATGAATTCCACGTTTATATAGAAAATATAGCGTGTATTGAAATATATATAATGATTTTGTGAAGAGTAATATCAAACACAAAGAACGTGATATTTTTAGCTCACAAACTGGAAATGACAATACCTGTTACATAAAAGACGATATCGTAGCTGCCAGTGTGATCTATTATCAGACCTATCAATGAGAAATAGAAAGTAGATTATATATCAGTATGGATATACATTGTAATGCATTCTGGGTAAAGAAAGGAATATCAAAAATGATAATAAAGAAACATGCTTATAATAGTTATTCAAGTCATACAAATGAGAATATCAAACTATGAGTCGCAATTGTTTGAAATCATAATGTGCTGTACTGTTTACAGAGAAAAAATAATAATATGGTGTACTGTTTTCAGGGAGGCAACTATTTTGTTTACAGAGGAACAATCACGGTTACAAATACGTGTTGCACTGAATATAGAACAATTATTACTCTATTATAATCTCAGGTAGAGTTAATTTCATGAATTAAACATACAGTAGACAAATCATCATAAACCAACCGTTTGGGAGATAAGTAGATATTTTGATACACAATGTTTTGATCGCGTGGCAGCGTAACGATAAATTTGACCGGAATTACAATCAGCTGTCCCTCATCTCGTATCTTCAAAGACAGGCATAAGTCTAGCATATTTACAGAGAAAAACAATAGCTAGCCGCGTGCTTTCGATGTTTTGTCGTGACATATGCATAGGGTGTAGAAACGTAAGTATAACTCCTGGAATTTCTAAGATGACATACAAATGTACATATAGATATATAACAATAACACCACAATATGGTACCGATAACAATATTTCCATAACATGCAATTGGTATAGTTGTATCTCCTATTGATGGGATAATAATGCATTTACCAAATAACATAGAGCATCAATTCATGTATCTGATCAAATATTTCAAAACAGGAAAACAAAAGTTTGCTCTACCTGCAACCGTCGGTCCAACAAACCAGCCAATTCCGTACATGAAGTACAGTGCGCCAACGGCAGCAGACAGTTTAGATAGCCCGACTATCTCTATGAGAATAGGAACTGTAAATGCTATGAGTCCCCCACTGTATATCCCAAACAGGCATGCAAATATCACTTGCTGCCAATATATGTGAGAGTAGAACGGAAATAATAAGGTCAGTACTCCAGTGATTCCCAATACTCCAAGCTTTAACAATATTGGATCTATTCCTGCCTCGTTGCTGGTTACGAGTCCTCCAAAGACCCGACTTACGGAGCTTCCAACTCCGATAACAAAAAGAAGCATAGCAGCTTCTGCTTTGGAGGATCCTAGAACGACTGAAAAGTTTGGGAGATGAAGAAGAACTATAGCATAAGCGACGTTCCATCCGAAACCAGCAATAAGTATAAGCAGGAAAGCGTGGTTTTTGTACAAGGAAGGATCAAGAATACTGCGAACTTGGACACACTTTTTAGAAGCGTCTTCTGACTCCTGTCGCATTTTCTTGTGCCACCCTTCCGCACCGGATGGTCGGATCAATGCTGCGCACACAATCAGGTGGCACGCGACAGCACCCATCATGAGGAAGCCACCACGAAGCCCATATGTGTCGATAAAATATTGACTTAAAGGGCCGCTTCCCAGCATGCCAATTCCACACCCGCAAACGACAACCCCGTTGGCTATTCCCCGGTACTTTTTGAAACTGTATCCGGTCATGATCAAGATAGGTGTAGCGCAGAAGCCAGACCCGAGACCTTGAAACAGGAATAAATAAGATTTTGGAAACAAAGTGAGTAATAAACAATCATAGACTCAAGGATATGTTATCAAAATTACATTTATCATTTACGTTTTCAAAGCCACAGTAATTCAATTAATCATTAGAAGCAGTTTGACAATATATATTTGTCATTAAAATTTCTTAAAATACGTTGACCATCATAAACTTTCACATGATGTCTTAACAAAATTGAGTTGCTTTATTAGGTTATTTTGGCATTACCGTATAATATTAACACAACCTAATTGTGTTAATATTATACGGTAATGCCAAAATAACCTAATCTAAAAAGAAACGAAAATGCGCGTCTGCGATTTTCTTTGCATGTTAGGTCTATAACTATTCGCAATATTGAATGCATGCGTTGTCATTCTTCACAATATTCGGGTTCACTTAACGGCAATGTATTTGCGTTTTCATTTAAACGTATATTTTGTCTAAAATCATCGACTTAACCAAAAGGTTCATAAGCGTCCATTCAGCTTGAATTTGAATTATTCAGGAACAAAAGTGCCTCCCCCTCCCTCCGACAAAGCAATTCCAATAACCTAACAATGGATCGGGGTGGGTGCTACGATGTTATAACATTTAGTTGAGGCATCACTAAGCAAACACATACTGTTGGAGGAGCGGTCTCAGCGCAAACAGGTCAACAATACACGCTCAGACACCCACATCAGTGGAGCAATTAGTTATGTGGCTTACGGTCAGTAGTTAGCTCCTGAAAAGGCAACATTTGCGCAATCCTCATAATGCAAAATTTGCTTGAATAAATTAAATTAAATATATATTACTGTGTGTTCTTTAGTGGCTTATCTCAACTAGAAGTAAAATAGTAGCATATTCATATACATATTGTAACAAACCTCAGTCAACACCTGCAAACATGCTTTCCTTAGTGAACGAAAAATCAGATAATCTTTCACCTGCCTGCTATGATCCCATACGTAAAGAGAACAGTAGAAAGACTATTGGCGAAGAAACAGGATGAGAATCCGAGCACGGTCAGGACTGCCCCAATCATAAGTGCTGTCTGACAGCTTGTCGTGTTGACAACCATACTGACAAATGGTCCTACAAAACAATTACAAGTTAAAATACTTATGTAATGATCTACGAAACAATGTAGAATCATTTACAATGGTTAGTGTCAAACAGTACAACATAGCCATACCTTTGGGTATGTGGCAGATGACTGTTCTTACTCCTACTCTACTATCGACACAAAATATTGTTTCTTAATGGTACTTGTATTCCAATACTTATTTGAAATGTTTAGCAAATCAATAAGAATGTTCGAAGACAGTGTACAGCTTCCTTCGGATAAACGTATAACCTTATGCGTAAACTTATACGTATACTTTAGAGGCTTATTTGTAAGATCTCTAGTAGTAGTAGCCCATCCCACGCTTATATGGGTATGTCTTTTTACGGGAGTTCTTAACTATTGGTTGTTAAAATCATATTAGATACATTCATGTCTATTTATACAGACTGTTCATCTAAGAAAATTAATTTGTTTTGATAAAACTGTGTTTTATAGAGATATCATTTCTATACTAAGACAGTCAGCCGGAAAGTAATTATTTGTGAAGAATAAGCGTCTCTACAAGATCAAGTGTAAAGTACGAGACACAAGCTATTCAAACAATCCACTACTTTCACGCGCATTTCATTCAGTACAACTGGCTATAGCTCAACCGTATACAGACAGGTGCATTGGTGTATCGGTGGCCATGGTGGCGTTGACTACATTAACAACGGTAACAAAGACTATGGAAGAACATGGATAACACATCCACTCAACAATTCAATACTAACCTGCAAAATAAGGATAAAAAACAACTTACTTTTAATTAGTTATTTGCTGGAGACAAACAAACACGGAAAAATAAAAAATAAAGGAAAAATAATGGACCGAAGACGACAACAGGTGTTCCAGATAAATTAGCGGTTGTCCCGCGCCTATAACCGTCATTATGTCTGCCGACACATCAGGCAATATAAGCAAACATTTCAGACAAATTGAACATTATATTAATTATAACAGATATATAAATCCCATAGTGAGAAACAAGATCTGAATAGCGATCGTACCATTTCTTTAGCATTGATTACAGTCTCGTAAGTGCACACTTCTGTTTATGTACATAAGCTGATAACAGGCTCTGGATTATCTTAACTCAGTATGTTAGAGAGGCTAGTATATAACTACTGAGTAAATGAAAGTTCACAATCGCAAAATTACAGTCATCCCATTAGGTTTGGTCGCAGGTGACCATAGTTGTCGTAAGATCGGTAAACGATCAGGAATGAAGCTCAGCTGAACCAGAGTAGTCAGTGGTATCATAGAGGATGTAGTACATAGTCATCAAACTTCATACGGCATGTACTTTAAATCACTTGTATTTTGCGTATATTTTATTCCACGATAGGACACCTATTTAAATATTAAAATTGGCGAATGATTAGAGAACCACACATTACAGGTATGATACAGTGATATAATTATTCCCAAGATATATATTTTCAGGGTTGAGTCTTACGCGGATTAACGCTAAAATAAATATCTCCCGAAATAAAAATGATTTACAGTGCATAGTAATCAAAGTTATTGTTATTCAGAGGCATTACATCATCATCATGCCCTGGCATCATCTAACTGTCACGGCCGTATACACTGTCACCGATGTACCAGTATGGTAGCGCTATGCAAAGTCTACGGCATAAAATACACGTACAAGTAGTGAAATGTTCGCGTAGATCGTGCCCATACTCCCCAATGTCAACTAAAAGTACTTCTGACGTCTATATATATCCCAAAATATACCAAATATAATAAATACATTTTTTAACAGATTTAACAAATCAATGTATGCTCCCTTCGGATAAGCGTATAAACTTATGCTTAAACGTATACGTATACTTAAGGGGCTTATTTATAAGATCTCTTCTTGTAAAGCAATGCGAAAAGACTTACCAAAGAGGGAATATAGACCGGCATATACGGAACCAACAATGGCGGTAGTGGCCACGTCCTCCTGGAACTCTTCCAATAATGCCACGTGGAAGATTCCGACACTGTAGTTCAGGAAGCCGTTTAAAACGTTACCAACAAAGCAGGCCGCCATTGCCACCCAAGCCCAGCCGCCGTCAACATCACGGAACTGATCCATGTCTTAAAGTGTTGACTGGATACAGACCTTTAATTGTTGCTATTCAATGTACCCCCTGTCATAAATAAAAGCAAATAAGTACTATTTGTGCAAAATATGAATCACGGCAACTCCTCCATATAACATTACGATTGAATCTTGGTATTTCAAATCGAATGCCACTGTGAAATATGGAAAACAAATGGTACATTGTACATATACAATGTGTCCTCAGTATGTCAATCTTCTTGACGGAATAAATTATTCTCTTACGTATGCTTTAAATCATCTACGTTAAATAAGCTGGATAGTCGTATGTATTAGTATTATTTATTTTTTTACATTAAAAGCACATTCTTATCAATAACTGAAAAAGATATGTATCAAAATATTAAAAGAAATTCCAGGATGCGAACAAAACTGTTATTGCTTCACTTACTGCGTATTACCTCTCTGAGGAGGTAACAGCTGTGTTGTAGTTACTAAGTTCTAGCGAAGTTAGAGCACATTGTCCTTTTTTCTTTAAATGAGTGATTAAGATTTTGCAATATATTCTATTTTTTCTTTAATAACTCGGAAATATCAATGATTGAAAAGTCAGCAGAAATATCTGTATGAAGCTTGTATGGATAAAAAAAATAAAAAAATAACCTGATATAGACATGACGTAACATTATATGTTCATAAAATAGTCGCTATCAATTCGAAATCTTAAACACGCCTAATCAAAATTTTAGTTTGTTGATGAAGAAAGCAAAAAAGGAATTAGCGCCCCTGAACCAAGGTGACAGGGATTTTCTCTTGCGAAAAACTGGGATGTTATTTTGATAATTTATCATGCAAACAGAATTTTGTGGTACTCAAGACATATTTAAGTGACCTAGAGAACGAATTCGACAGTTGAGGTTTGAATGTTTTGTGACTCGATTTTGACGAACGTAAAGAGGAATTTCTTACGCTCAGCCAGGAACAATGGATGGAAACATGGCGGGAAATGTGCCAGACAATGTGTCTGTCGCCAGTAGGGTGTCGTCTGTTAGGAATCCTGACAGTGAGGAACAACAGGAGGGATATGGAACAGCTAATTCAGTTTTTCTTATTGAAGCTTATATTTTTGGATTAACACAACCACAGCGCAAAGGCTGGCTTACGCATCAGGGGCTATACCAGGCTATATGACAAAAGATTGAGGCAGACCATGTGTATGGATTGCAGAGGACGGGAAAGATGTGTAGGGTGTATGTGGATATCATGAACGATCGGACGAAGCTGCTGACTACAGGTATAGTTATACGTAGAAAGCTTGTCCATTTACTATCAACAAACCCTAGGCGCCCAGACCATAACCATGAAATTACATCGAGAATCCGTGTATTTAATGTACCTCTATCGGCCGACGATGGGCAGATAAAAATAACTCTTAGTATGATGAAGTGCGTGTTAGATCTCCGTTTCTTCTTTGGAGGAGTCAACAAAGAAAAAGACCATGTAAGTAGTGATAGAACTGAAAACGGTACGAAGAACTCACCAAAGTAACTAAGTACAAAACAACAAAGATATTGTTTATGAACGTACAAAAATCCATGAAAATGTGGCAAACATATATAGATAAATTTAATAAAGACAAATCAGAGGGTTTATGTTTAGGACAGAATAAAATTCGAATAGATATAATGGAAATAAAGATGTCAAGAGAAAATGTTAAATCTTTAGGGGTAATATTTGAGGTGAAGAAAAGGAAATGTTGAATAAATCAATTGGGGAAAAAATGTGGACTCGGTTAACCACCTAATCAAGAACTTGAAGCAAAGAAAACTAACCCTAATTGGTAAAACTACAATTGCAAAAGAATTACTAATACCAAAAATAGCATGTAATGCAGCATTAAAATATGAAAATAAAACACTAATAAAGAACTTAGAGCAGATAATATTTAATTCTTGTGGGATGGTAAAACAGATAAAGTCAAGAGAACAGTCATGATACGTGAGCATAAGGAAGGAGGATTAAAAGTAAGGGATATGGAATCACATATTCCGTCCTTGCGTATTGCAGAGTTATCTTCTCTTGTGAGCAGGCAAAGTTTTATTTTAACAAATTTGGAAAAAAAATGGGAATTTGTAATGTGAGAAATAGATCAACAACAAAAAACCACTAGTAATGTTGAAAAAATAACGAGTCGTAATACCAGATGATATATTGAACGAAATAATTTGGGGTGTGTAAATATCCAAAATGAGCGTAAATCCTAAATCTACACGCATTGGATGGAGAGTTGAATAATAAAAAAAAATGTGATTTATGTGATGAAACAGGAAAAATAAATGATATAAAAAAAAATTAATGAAAACGTAACTAAGCAAGCACAACTGGATTGTGGAGCTCTTAAAACTAAAATCATCAATTCCAAAGGAGTGGATCGAGAAAATAAGCAAAAATGAAACCAGAATCGAACTACATGTAGAAGTACGGTAAAATGATATTGAAAAGTCTAGGATATGTACTCAAATAATATAATTTATAAAATATAAATCTAGTGCAAACAAGAAAAACCAAAAGTAATAGAAAGATGGAATCCACAATTACAATTTGAAAACAGATTTTCAAGAAGCACTTGAATATAATTTCAAGAATATACAGGACAATAAATGTAAAGTCTACAAATGGAAACTGTTTCAGAATATAATTCCAACAAGGAAAAATCTTAAGCGATGGAGAATAGAGGATTATGATGTATGTCCAAATTATAATAAGATGGAGGACAATTTACTTTTTGTAGAATGTAAGCATTTTGATGTTTTTTGGAATTCAATTAATTTCTGTTTCCTTAATATGGGTAAAGAGCAAAATGTGAGAACTTTAAAATATATTTTTCTTTGTTACAAGCCAAGTGAGACAAAATTTAAATATCTAAATTGTTTTACTGATTCTGATTGGATATACAATATACAGGTCCTTATTTATCTGTGAAAAAGACAAACAAAAAACTTGAAATTTTCAAGAGGTTTCAAATAGATCTAATGTTTTATATGAAGCATATATTGGATTTACACTATTGGGAGTCATTGAATAAAAGCAAATGAAGGCATGAATGTATAAATGAATGACTGTGGAAAGAATGAATGATTGAATGAAAAAGAGATTGTATAAGAAATGAATGACAGAAAAATGAATGGAAGAAGGGATGTTGGATCCTAGGAGTGTTAAAAGAAATGAATGATGAAGGAAAACGAATGAAATAAAGGTTAATTGTAAATTATATAAATGAATATTTAGTATATACCATGTAAAACATATTTTTAACTTTTTGATCCATGTGCAATGATATACATACCCTATGTCAATTACCATAGAAATAAGCAATAGGGCTCTTTACACTCAACTTCACACGAAAGAATGATCTTTGGCTTGTTGACGATATTTCAAAAAGTAGGCCTAACGTCTGTTTCATTCTGCATCATCAACCTTTCTGCTAAAGTAATATGCCCTTCTCCTCCTCTGAAGAAAGGGGAAAGGGTAACTATAAATAAAGATATGCAATACCAACTTTTTGTATATAAAATAAGGACATGTAAACAAACATAGGGTGACTGCTGACCTTCCTAGATCAAGTGCTAACTTGCATATATGTTGGTCACAGCACAAATATGTGTGTGTTTCGGACATTAGTGGCGAGCCCCCGTGCTCCCAACATGACTACTAGCTATATACTTGTTATGTTACAGGTCTCCGCTCTATGTCAGATATTCGAGACTCGAAGTTTTATCAAATTGAACAAAAAATTGGCATGAAAGAATATTAAGAACAACTAAAATATTATTTACAATTATTTCAGCACACACTTAATACTTACCTTAGTCAATAGTCATTAATAGCATTTCTGGCATTCCACGTGATGATTGTCAAAATGAATGAATGGATGGATGAATTAATGAGCATAAATGAATGTATGAAAGAGAGCCCTCTTGCATGAGGACAATTATTGTAAGGAGACTGTTACCAGGGCCCCAACCCTGGCAGTATTCCAAAAACAAATATTGTGGGACAATAACATTTAAAAAATAAACTACGTACATACTGCACCATATGATCAGTAACTCAATTTAGGACTAATCAGTGATCCTACAGTGTAAGTTCACAAGAATTAAAGTTCATGTCAAAGGTATTCCGAAACATACAATGTACGAGAACTGCCAAAAGGGAAAATGCCTATAAAACCCTCTATTACTTTACAAACGTATCACTGTTACAACAGATAATTTATTCTGAACGTAGGATTACTTACTAACCGTACCGGAATAAATGTATGTTTAACTACAACATTTAAACACAGCACGGTCAAGTCTCTAACATCTTGACACAAGGTTAAATTAAATGATGTTTTAGAAACCTGAAAAAAATAATAGAGTTCAAAATTCTGACCTTAGTAATTCATTACAATTTTTATCACAAAAATGTTATTACTTCAAAAGCGTTTAAACACAATTTCATTAAAATATATATCATCATTATACACATCGTCTGTAACTGCTAAACTAACATCAATGTTTTTATCAGATTGTTTGCAAAATAATTTTTTCTGAAGATATTTAAAACTAAGAAACATATCATATTTGATAAAAAGTACTTCTTTATGACTGCTGTAGTTATCTGATATTGTAATATAACACACGAAGATAAATCGTTATAGCTCTTCTATAGTTCTATTAATATCAAAAAGGTATTAAGGGAGATAACTCATGTATAGTGGAGAAGGTAGAACATTTAAAGTGTATTCGTTTTATTGACTGTAAACGGTGCTGCTATACGAATGTAGCTGTTTGTTGCAAACTGTTGGTGTTTAAACACCTGTGCTTTTGTATTTGTTTCTCTCCTATTGTTAATACATACGCATGTTTTTCTCATTTCTCCCTTAGCAACATTAAATTTGCTTCCATTTTTTCCCATAGCTACTACATATATATGTAGTTGTTTTTATTTTCCCATCTTCCATGGCTGCTATATGTATACGCGATTATTCTTATTTCCCTCCTAGCTTTATCATGTACTACATATATATGTATTGTTATTTGTACCATAGCTATTATCGTATTTCCATTTCTCCCATAGCTCTTATATGTATAAGTATTTTATTCTTATTTCTCCCTTAGATATATTTTCTTATTTCTAATTCGTCCATATCTACTATATGTATACGGATTTTATCCTTAATTATCCCTTAGCTATATTATCGTATTTCTATTTATCCCATAGCTACTACACTGTATATACATATATATTGTATTATTATTTCTCCCGTAGCTGTATTATTTTATTTATATGTCTCCTATAGCGACATTGTATATGTCAATGTGTTTGTGTATTCAATTATTTTCCAACCGTTGTTAGATACAGGTAAAAAAAAAAAAAAAAAAATCTCCAATATTTCGGGAACAACCTATTAATGAGTTGGTATTTAATATAATCATTTTGTTACACATGCATATATCTCGTCACCCTGAGAATATTATGTTTCGATTTATTGTGAAACGTCCTTTTCTGATTTAATGCGAAATACTTTGAAGGAAGGTGGAATGAGGCTAAACAGATTTCGTATACTTTCCGTTTTATAAACAAAACTTGGTAATTGTTCCACATCTGGCCCGCAGTTGTATTTGTTGCATTGGTGTTTATCAGCCTAATATTTCTTGTCAAGGCTAATGATAAGTAATGCACACACTTAAACAAAATTACTTTGTATTTAAAAAATAAACAAGTCACTTTAGTGTTTAAAATCATAATTGAAGTTTTCTGAAATATGCAGATATACTACATGGTCATGGAATGGTCCTTATAAACACCCTTATAACTTACAAAGTACATTTATATTCGGAAACATTGATATCAGATGTATTTTGAAGGATCTTAATTACATGATGTGATCTTTTTGGAAAGGATTTTAATTTTCGTTTCAGTGAGTCTTTGATGTGCTAAAATTAACAATTGGTATCAGGTTTGATTAATTTGATATGCATTGTATATATTTTCTCAATTGTGATGTCATTAAATAATCTGGAGGTTTGTGACGTTATTTCATAATCATTTTATGGCGTCACAATAGGCAGTATATTATAGCATGTTCATAAGTTCTTTACGATCGACTTTTGTGCATCTACTGAACAGGGTAAGCATGAGAGAAAATCCGCTTGAAGATTTTTAGAAATATGTTAATTATTCACAAAAACTATCATGGAATAATATTGATAATTAGCATGTTTGTTCTTCTTTCCAACAATAAAACATATTTATTAATATTTGATCGATAATTCCAGTTAGACACATGAACTATATATTGTATCTAAGACTTTTAACACATGGGAGTGGGCAGTCTGTCACTATTAGCTCTCTGTCATGTTGAATAGTGGTAATGGAATGTACTACTTGACTTAACATAATGGAGATACAACAAATGATAAATATAGTCCTAACGCGACCTTTTCAAACCCGGTTTAACGGTTATCTAGTTAAACAAAGTAGCCTGGATTGATTTTAGATCCTCTTGTTAGAAACGATCTCTTATACACATTAAAGAATAGGTATACACGTTTATAACAATCGTTTATTAGATGCTGGCTTAACCAATTATTTAAATGTCAGATGTGATCGATTGATTATGATTCTGAAGAACGAATAGCTTGTTTTGATCACAAACAGGTAATAGTGACACTATATCACACCGTCAACATACATACATGTTATATTTGGGAATTTATTACGAACAAAATGGAAATATACTTACATAGCAACGACAATGCTGTACCTGAATCGGCAAACCTTTCAGGTAGATTACACTAGGTCAGACAAAGCCCACGTAGTCGGAACGTGAACGCACACTGACAATTTACGTGACCGCTGTCGTTTTACATAGCTACCTTACTTGAACCCTAATCATATTATCAGTATTCTCAAACAAAAGGACAGCTGCTTGGCGTAAAACGCGCTCTTCTGTTGATGTGTGAGAGATCTATAGGGTCACATACGATTTATCTGTGTTGACCTCTGAGTATCAACTAGTTGTATACTAGTAGTTGTATACGACGACATAGAAAAAAATATAATACACCCTACTCAGATAATGTTTTTCTCACCCTTAGTAAACAATAATCGCATGGTACCATTAATACATAAAAGTAGACGCAGTTGATATTCTAATCTAAGTTAAACACAAAAAGGTCATATTGGTTTACAACACATCGAGAAGGACTGTTTTACGTAATCATATTGACTTACACTATGTAAATAACTGGCCTTATCACACTGTTACATACCAACGCACAGTAGTTTTTATTCTGTTTTCGATATTAACTTACAAACGAAAAAGAGCACAAAATACAACTTATTTCTTACACACTTGTCGGATTTACTTAAATTGCAAGGGCGTGTCTATCTCATTCAACATTTAAATTTGTTATCATTGTTTTTCACTCAAAACTGTCTGAATTAATCCACCTATCCGTCCGTCCGTCTATCAATCAATCCAATCAATCACACTTCCAACCATCCATTCATTCTTTCATTTATTTCATTCATTCATTCATTAATTCATTCATTCAATCATTCACCCATCCATCAATTCATTCTTTCATTCATTTATTCATTCATTCATTCATTCATTCATGCTTTCATTTACCCATCCATCATCCATTCAGGCATTCATTCATTCATGCATTTTTTTATTCATTCATTCATTATCACAAATAAAATTGTGAATCATTAATAATAAATCAGTATAAACACTCTCAACTGAGACCGTACCAGATCATTACTTAGCTTTGGTATAACTGAGGTGGTGGTAACATTTAAAATCCAATATTTGGATGGATTAATCCAAAAGGAAGTCTGGTGTTTTGTAATTCTGAAATTTTGTTGAAAGCGCTCATTCGATTGTCTGCAAGTATTTTAATCAGAAAAAAACGCTCGACGTACAAATTCGCCATAGCACAGAGGTCTCGCTGAAGTTTCTTAGGTTGTTTACTGAAGAACTGTCACACGGTCACAAAGTGGGTCATGACAACATAAATCGTTAAGCTATCGTAAATCGGTGGTCGCACACAAAGTTCGATGCTCCATAAGATCGTTCCGGAGATAATCTGATATAGAAACTGTACCCTATATAGAGATCATGCTGTATTTTGTCACTTAACTACATTGGTTGTAAATATAAAAAAAAAAATTGTTATGACATGTTATTCCGCTATGTATTTTCTAAAATGTAGAGTGCTTTTACTGCAAACATTAAAATCATTAATATAAACTACATGGGTAAAGCGAGCTTTTCTATCTGTAGAGCATTACCTGTGTGTAGGTTACGTTTATCTTATCAGCACCGGTACGGTAGGCATACTTGGGCGGTTAAACTCTAGTCGAATTTGGTTTAAGGGTTGAGAGAGCACCTTTTGGGTAGACGGGGGAGGGGCGGCAAAAGTAGTATGGTGCACACTTATGGGATTTATCGTTAAGTATGTAAGGAAAAAAGGTTCTGTGGCTGTTATTATGATCGCTAAAACACAAGTTAAAATGCGATTCGTTGCTGTTATCACATTATCCCTACACTGGTTCAATTCGAATGCGTGTGCATTTTAGGTCAGTGTTTATATAACGTTTTGAGTAGATAGTCGATAAGAGAATTGAGGCTGTCTCATTTGGCAAACATCTTGTACAAAGAGTATCGTATTTACCTAATCCTTGAAGTAAAGGAAGGCGAGGAGCGACAGATTAAGATAGCTTTATATATTACGTGTAGCTTGACATATTAAGCAATAATGTATTCGAATATCTTTATAGACAAGTACAAATCGTTTTATATTTTGCTACTATCAGTTAGCTTGTATTACTGTTAATCAGCTCTACACCGTACTAAGTAGGCCACAGATTCCTGATGTGTAGGGAGTACAAGATTTAGTTTACCAACCCATCATCAATAACTGTAAGTTGTTCAGTCTGAAAAGCAAAAATAATCGTTAATGCGCATTTTCTAAATCTGATCTGTATTTGAATGTTACAAAATTAATACATTTGCTCTCATCGGATCTCATTAAATGCTTCCAAGTGCAAAAACCAGTGTAAATATCTTTCTGTATTCTTTTAATATTTTGTATTTGAATTTAGGTTTTCCTCCATTATGCTAACCAGGCTTCGCACAACAGAACCCTAATGACCAATTCGTACAGTACAGTATTTTTAGGATTTATACAAATATCGTACTCCACGTGACTAAATTATCGCAGTTTTACGTCAATAGCTACACTCATTCTCACGTATGAACAATGCTTTCATTGGACATGATATTCAAAATACCAAAAAAGCGATTTATAGCCCCATACGAAAGTCATGTGAATCACAGTAGCTGTATTAACTTTTAAACGGAGCATAAGCAAAACGCTAGCGTAAATAATGAAATGCAAGTTGGCAATACATAAATCATTTATTAATTGTTTTTCATGTACAATGTGAACAGAATCGCATTGTATTGTTAATGAAATCCACACCATCATTTACACATACTAAAGTACAGTGCACCATGTAAACCATTTTATTTTACACGTTTCCTTTACTAAGTATTTACCATCAGAGCAAAGCAGCATTATCAAATTACCAGTACGTTCATTGTATCAAACAATAACGTAGACATAACTTGACTTACCAAATAAGATAGTTAAAACTGAACATCTATAAAACTTCTTCAATATTGCGATTCTTGATATAAATTTCTTATTTCCTATATCTTAAATTCGTTGTAATTTCGGGAGATTTAAACTGATTGTATATTTCCGTAAATATCACACAATATGTCAAATGCTGCAGCATCCAACCTAAGGTGACATTCCTCCATTGGTTTCTCTTAATTGTTTATGCAATTTATTCGTAAAGTATGTATGGTTAGCATAATTATATAAACATATTTCGTGTATCAATTTAATGTAATTGAAATTCACTCGCTATAGAAATATCCAACAATAGATAATCCGAGATTAACATATGTGAAAACATACTCCAAATAAATGATTGAGTCACAATAAAAAAAGAATACATACTGGGTATTGTTCCGAATTGCACATAGATACATAGTACGTTTGAGCGGAAACAACTGACTACTAGTACAATATGTCCGGTAACAAATCGCTATGTATTCATGAAATGACAATCCCTAACAAATCTAGCACTAATACAAAATTCTTCGACGTTGGCGATTTCGCAACGTTTCCATCGGTCAATAATCTTGAGCAATTGAATGGCAGACTACACATGAGTCCCCAATAATACATGCATCCAAAGAGCTGTCCCAAAATTATACCCCTATTAAATAGATCACGCTATCTTAAAAGTAAGACAAAAAACATTAAATATTCCTCGGGATTTCACAATATCTGAAAAAAGAACATGTATTGACCTTCAGTGGTTATGTTTCCGACATGTTCTCATCTTCGTGACATATACCATCATAATACCAACATGTTTGTTTAATTTTTTTAGCAATAAGTGAGTTTCAACAACAGATATTTTAATGTATCACAGTCGTAAGACCGTGGAACCGCTTTGGTAGCAGTAGACATTGATAATTGCTGATCAGATACATTAATATAGGCATAACAACTAAGCAAAAAAGCACATTACAACATTGAAAAAATAATGTAATCGTGCAAACATGTAAAGAAAAATATTTTGGAATGAGATACATGTAAAAACAATCTCTGAAGTGAACAACATAAAATAATACAAATAGGTATGATTATGACCAGGATTTGAACAAAACTGTTGTTCTGATATGAGATTCTGCATATGTATAAATAGATAAGTGTGAACTAGACTAATGTATAACCTCTCCAAAAAATAAATAAAAAAAAAAACATTGTAAGTATGCTTATACTAGATGAGAATAAAACGAAATATACACATCGGCAGAGGTAACAAAAACTTGAAACATAAAGTTGTTCTTTTTAAAATTCGTAGTTCGACTATTTCTGTTGTAATATAATCATTGTCAGTTGTTTTTCTAACCCAAAGCTAATTACAGTTTAACTTAATTCTATACCCGACTGAAAAATATAGGATACCAAAATCTACACCATACAACAACATTTTATAAGACAACATTTTTTCTTTAATAAGCTTTTCGAGTTTTTCATTATATAATCTAGTTTGTGTCTCTCATGCTGCATTTAATGACGAAGTTACAATGTTGTTTAATACAGATGACATCTTATCCCTTACCCATTACCCAAAAACACTGCTTTTGAAAACAACCGGACACGCTTATATAATAGGAACGACATAGAATTGAATCTTATGATCAGCAAGAGGGTAGCATAGAACATCAATGAAAACATTATACCAGTTATAACTAGACTTAACACACACGTAGATACCGATTAACATGCATACAGTGAAATGACCCGCATACTTTTCTTGGTGTTAACCCAGATTGATAAATACACAACAGAGTGATTCAATGTTAATGTGACGAATCCATGTTTAGCACCGTGTGAAATATCTTAACTTTGTTTTTAGGACATGTTGAGTGTTATTTCAAAGTTTTATGAGGCAACTAAAGGTTAAAGGCAAATGAAAAGCGATTCTTACTTAGGAATTATTTACCTTTTTATTATTATTTACGTTATAAATGCCAGTAACCTGGAAAAGCAGAACTCGGCAGTTATTACAAAACAAAACTTTTGTTTGGTTACTTGGCATTATAAGAATGAGTCAGCGACGGAAAAATGCAATTCATGTTACGTATCAGTTGAAGGGCGGACGCCGTTTTTCATGGATTGTTTTCATCAGGATCATACTTTCATTTGGAAATAATTTGTTTCCTTGTACAAGATGAATCTGTACGATTTTCATTTACTCCTCAGTGTGGTCTGTTTCGTTGTCACTTTCCTTGTTTCGCTTATGGGACGTGACTTGACTAGATTTTACCTAGATTTTAATTGCGGGTGTAACCGGTGAAGCGGAAGACGCTTACTCGTCCAGATCACCAGGTCTTTCTATCCTTAAACTTGTATTTTTTTCAATTTTCACCATGCAAACCATGTCACAACCGGTTTATTTTGATTTGTTTTTTGTACTATTTGCCGTCCTTGCATTAAAACATTTCAGTGATATATGGTCGTCATTATAACACACTAGACCTTCAAACATGGAAAGACCATGTGTCCTCTTGTTTACCTTTGGTTTTGTTGTCTAGATAACTTTCCTTGAACTTTCAGTAGAACCGATCCCTGATGTTTTGTACTAAATAATGCCATGCAATCTCTTGATAACAAGAACAACACAGAGTAATGCTCCTTTAACTACTAGCTATATCTCAATAGTAGCGCATAGTGGATACACTGACAACGCTTTGTTATCCTATTTATACTGTCTCGTTCCACATTAGACAGTCGAAACAATTTTTCATGAATGCTTATAATGACAAACTTACTTGTATAACTGTTCCTGACAGTAAAGGGTTCCTACACACAATAACAAAAGTACTATCGAAAAATGCATCTCAATTTCACAATCAAATATATCAATGTTTTAGAAACCAATCTAAACACTTGTACGTAAGGTAACAATCAAGGAGCACTTATATTAGACACTTTAGGACATTTAAGAAACACATATCTGGTAGTAACAAACAATTTAACAGTGAGAATCAGCGTAAGGATATAACTACACACAACAAAAAAAGAGAAAAAAGTCTTAAAGAGCACTGATGAAACCCATGAAATAAGACATAAAGCACCACGCACCTTAACAGATAATTTTAACACTACAAACATGCACGCATTAAAACTGTATATTTGGCACTGCGGAATTGCTTAAAATGTTCTTGGACTAGAACTGTTTATGAAACAGATACATTTTGTCTCATCAATAACTTGGTTAATGTGTAAAGAAAATGGTATTTAAGAATATTAATTATTTAATCATTTAAAATGATTCGAACTGAAATTTTGAACTACGTAATTTAGCACATCTGTATTAATAGACACAGCAGCGTTTCCATGGAGATAAATTGCAGAGATAAAAATCACCTCTTGTGTTATTAAGATCATCCATCCTTAAAGAGAGTAAAACTTGAAAAAAGAACTTCGAAAATATTACAATGAATTAAAAGAAATATAACACTTTTTAATCTCAGTATATCTGCTGGCTGTACTTTAGGTTTCCTCATCCTTGCTTTAATTTAATGATTGTCATAATCATGAACATGTATAGCAAAACAACAATGATTTCTGCAACATACCAATCCCTCACACTGATACAGATGGTCAGGGACCTACGAAAAGAGGTTGTACCTAGAATGACTGATACATGTAATTTAAGACAACGATTGTTACTGGGCATTCACAAATTAATCACAAATAACGACGTTTCTTCTAATTAAGGTACCACGATATCGGTAATCGTTTTATTTTTATTTTGACGAGGTGATGTGCAACAAAACACATGCACAGGCCAATGAGATGCGATATCTGTCGCTAGTCTAAAACAAGATCCAAATCAACCTGAATCAATTGTCGGTGAGGTTACTGTAATGTAATGGCTGATGTTACCCCTCCTCGGCCTCTGCTTTGTGAAATTCGCACCTGTGAATAGATACATGAGATGTTCGAAGAACGTCATCCAAAAGGAGAGAATGTTTCGAATGTCCCATGGTCCGACGCGCAATGCTGGGTGATGCTCCATCGGCCAGGTGGCTCATCGAACCGGCCAGAAACAAGGCGGAACCACCAAGAATATTACTTTCTTTGATATCAAGGTGTTCAACTTCTTCTTCAAGTTCATTTCTCCATATAGCTGATATCAATACGAAGAACGCAGCCAGTATAAATAAGGCACCTGAAATCAAAGTTGTAATCAAAGACTACATACACGGGGACGCCGTTGTAGAGAGAGAAGGGGTAAAACAAACTCATATATACATGTATTTGTTCAATGTATTGTGTTAATATATGTATAGATAATAACATTAATATTACAATCACTCAGTTATCTTAAAACTTGCATATTACGTATGATAAGGATTTATATATATCTTATTTGATGAATGTGTCACGCCATTTTTGTCGCTTTTTACTTTAAAATCAGCCATAGATTTGAAGTTTCAGACTTATTCAATACAACAAAAACTGTCTCCATTCGGGAATGACGCAAACTATATCCTATACCAAACCTCCAGCTAGGTCCCACCAGATATATTGATACATGTTCCTATACCAAACCTATAACTAGGTCCCAACAGATATATATTTATAAACATTCCTATACCAAACCTATAACTAGGTCCCACCAGATATATTTATAAACATTTCTATACCAAACCTATAACTAGGTCCCACCAGATATATTGATAAACATTCCTATACCAAACCTCTAATTAGGTCCCACCAGATATATTTATAAACATTCCTATACCAAACCTATAACTAGGTCCCACCAGATATATCTATAAACATTCCTATACCAAACCTCTAACTAGGACCCACCAGATATATTTATAAACATTCCTATACTAAACCTATAACTAGGTCCCACCAGATATATTTATAAACATTCCTATACCAAATACCTATATAGGTCCCACCAGATATATTTATAAACATTCCTATACCAAACCTATAACTAGGTCCCACCAGATATATCTATAAACATTCCTATACCAAACCTCTAACTAGGTCCCACCAGATATATTTATAAACATTCTTATACCAAACACCTAACTAGGTCCCACCAGATATATATTTATAAACATTCCTATACCAAACCTATAACTAGGTCCCAACAGATATATTTATAAATATTCCTATACCAAACCTATAACTAGGTCCCAACAGATATATTTATAAATATTCCTATACCAAACCTATAACTAGGTCCCAACAGATATGTTTATAAAAATTCCTATACCAAACCTCTAACTAGGTCCCACCAGATATATTTATAAACATTCCTATTTCAAACCTCTAACTAGGTCCTAACAGATATATTTATAAACATTCCTATACCAAACGTATAACTACGTCCCACTAGATATATATTTATAAACATTCCTATACCAAACCTCTAACTAGGTCCCAACAGATATATTTATAAACATTCCTATACCAAACGTATAACTACGTCCCACCAGATATATTTATAAACATTCCTATACCAAACCTATAACTACGTCCCACCAGATATATATTTATAAACATTCCTATACCAAACGTATAACTACGTCCCACCAGATATATTTATAAACATTCCTATACCAAACCTATAACTAGGTCCCACCAGATATATTTATAAACATTCCTATACCAAACCTATAACTAGGTCCCACCAGATATATTTATAAACATTCCTATACCAAACCTATAACTAGGTCCCACCAGATATATTTATAAACATTCCTATACCAAACCTATAACTAGGTCCCACCAGATATATTTATAAACATTCCTATACCAAACCTATAACTAGGTCCCACCAGATATATTTATAAACATTCCTATACCAAACCTATAACTAGGTCCCACCAGATATATTTATAAACATTCCTATACCAAACCTATAACTAGGTCCCACCAGATATATTTATAAACATTCCTATACCAAACCTATAACTAGGTCCCACCAGATATATTTATAAACATTCCTATACCAAACCTATAACTAGGTCCCACCAGATATATTTATAAACATTCCTATACCAAACCTATAACTAGGTCCCACCAGATATATTTATAAACATTCCTATACCAAACCTATAACTAGGTCCCACCAGATATATTTATAAACATTCCTATACCAAACCTATAACTAGGTCCCACCAGATATATTTATAAACATTCCTATACCAAACCTATAACTAGGTCCCACCAGATATATTTATAAACATTCCTATACCAAACCTATAACTAGGTCCCACCAGATATATTTATAAACATTCCTATACCAAACCTATAACTAGGTCCCACCAGATATATTTATAAACATTCCTATACCAAACCTATAACTAGGTCCCACCAGATATATTTATAAACATTCCTATACCAAACCTATAACTAGGTCCCACCAGATATATTTATAAACATTCCTATACCAAACCTATAACTAGGTCCCACCAGATATATTTATAAACATTCCTATACCAAACCTATAACTAGGTCCCACCAGATATATTTATAAACATTCCTATACCAAACCTATAACTAGGTCCCACCAGATATATTTATAAACATTCCTATACCAAACCTATAACTAGGTCCCACCAGATATATTTATAAACATTCCTATACCAAACCTATAACTAGGTCCCACCAGATATATTTATAAACATTCCTATACCAAACCTATAACTAGGTCCCACCAGATATATTTATAAACATTCCTATACCAAACCTATAACTAGGTCCCACCAGATATATCTATAAACATTCCTATACCAAACCTATAACTAGGTCCCACCAGATATATTTATAAACATTCCTATACCAAACCTATAACTAGGTCCCACCAGATATATTTATAAACATTCCTATACCAAACCTATAACTAGGTCCCACCAGATATATTTATAAACATTCCTATACCAAACCTATAACTAGGTCCCACCAGATATATTTATAAACATTCCTATACCAAACCTATAACTAGGTCCCACCAGATATATTTATAAACATTCCTATACCAAACCTATAACTAGGTCCCACCAGATATATTTATAAACATTCCTATACCAAACCTATAACTAGGTCCCACCAGATATATTTATAAACATTCCTATACCAAACCTATAACTAGGTCCCACCAGATATATTTATAAACATTCCTATACCAAACCTATAACTAGGTCCCACCAGATATATTTATAAACATTCCTATACCAAACCTATAACTAGGTCCCACCAGATATATTTATAAACATTCCTATACCAAACCTATAACTAGGTCCCACCAGATATATTTATAAACATTCCTATACCAAACCTATAACTAGGTCCCACCAGATATATTTATAAACATTCCTATACCAAACCTATAACTAGGTCCCACCAGATATATTTATAAACATTCCTATACCAAACCTATAACTAGGTCCCACCAGATATATTTATAAACATTCCTATACCAAACCTATAACTAGGTCCCACCAGATATATTTATAAACATTCCTATACCAAACCTATAACTAGGTCCCACCAGATATATTTATAAACATTCCTATACCAAACCTATAACTAGGTCCCACCAGATATATTTATAAACATTCCTATACCAAACCTATAACTAGGTCCCACCAGATATATTTATAAACATTCCTATACCAAACCTATAACTAGGTCCCACCAGATATATTTATAAACATTCCTATACCAAACCTATAACTAGGTCCCACCAGATATATATATAAGCATTCCTATACCAAACCTATAACTAGGTCCCACCAGATATATTTATAAACATTCCTATACCAAACCTATAACTAGGTCCCACCAGATATATATTTATAAACATTCCTATACCAAACCTATAACTAGTTCCCACCAGATATATATTTATAAACATTCCTATACCAAATACCTAACTAGGTCCCAACAGATATATTTATAAACATTCCTATACCAAATCCCTAACTTGGTCCCACCAGATATATTTATAAACATTCCTATACCAAACCTCTAACTAGGTCCCAACAGATATATTTATAAACATTCGTATACCAAACCTCTAACAAGGTCCCCCCAGATATATTTATAAGCATTCCTATACCAAACCTCTAACTAGGTCCCACCAGATATATTTATAAACATTCTTATACCAAACCTATAACTAGGTCCCACCAGATATATATTTATAAACATTCCTATACCAAATACCTAACTAGGTCCCAACAGATATATTTATAAACATTCCTATACCAAATACCTAACTTGGTCCCACCAGATATATTTATAAACATTCCTATACCAAACCTATAACTAGGTCTAAACAGATATATTAACCATTCCTTGCTATTCCAAACATTTATTTTTCCCACCAAACATATCTATAAAATTCATCAAACAAACTTTTAAGTAAGTCCAACCAAGTATATTTTAAACGCTGACATACTCAACCTTCCATTAAGTCCCACCGAATGTATATTCATAAATCTTTTTTTCACCAAACTATCGGCAAGATCTCACCAAATACATTTATAAAACTTTCGATAGCCAATCCCTATTTGTAGATACTACCTTTTATTGCATTTCAATGTGTTCATTATCTCATTTTCTTCATTCGTTATTTTATTTTACTGCATTCATTAACGTAACATGCGACTTCATCACAACACATTTACATGTTCATAAATTCAGTTTGCACAGTCGGAGTCTGCCTATGCTGAATTTTGTATAAGATACAAAGGAAGGGAAGTAACTCTGACATACCAGCGAGATAAAACGTGTATTCATAGGTCTCCCACGAGTCATATATGGCACCTGGAAAACGATTAAAAGAAGCATCTTGGTCAAATGATGTTTCCTTTATGGAATGATATGAGCTTGTTTATGAAGTTTTAATGTGGATTTTTTATTATGAATGACTTACTGTAATTATACCACTTTATATAGCACATCCTCTACTTTGTAAGTGATGATATATGCAGCCTAAAAAAATATACTGTAAAATATATTGTAAGTGTTGGAAATTAAACCAATTTTAATCCTGTTAACTGAAAAGTATGTCGGACATTTAGTCTAGACCTATATTTGGAAGACATTTTAACAATCTTGATATCTTCATTCCTAACCAATGAAATGCCATATATATTCCACGCTCATACCTCTACTTTGCTATACATACCAGCCAATGGCGGACCGATAATACCGCCGATCCCTGATGACAAGTACATTCCGCCGACACCTGCTGCCACCTGGGAGACGCCAGCCAGATGCACGACAAGGGGGGTAATAAGGGTGATCATCCCTCCACTATGGAAACCAAATATCACAGCGAAAACACATTGACCTTTGTAGGTTCCTGAAAATAGTGGGAATATCACAGTAATAAGCCCTGATAATCCAAGAAACCCAAACTGCATAAGTAACGGGTCCAGTCCGTGCTTCTTCCCTAGTGAGAGTCCAGTCAGGATCCGGTTGAATATACTCCCTACGCCGATCATTGTTATCAACCACGCCCCTTCTGCGGGAGTTGATCCTTCCGTGACTGCAAAGTTAGTAAGATGGACCAGAAGAATAGAATACGAGAGATTCCACAGTACATTAGAGAATAGCACCACCATAAACGTCGTATTCCTGATTATACTGAAATCGAACGAATTAAAAAATCCACCAGTATTAGACTCGTCTCGCTTTGCCTTTTCTAATAACTCTCTACCACATGGTCGCATAATTATCGCAAAGACAAAACCCTGAGTACTAAGTCCACCAAGAAAGAGGAAAGCTCCATTAAGTGAATATGTGTCGAGTAAGAACTGGGTGAGAGGTCCGCTAAGGAACATCCCTAGACCACTTCCGGCCACCGCCACTCCCACCGCGATACCTTGGTAACGATCGAACGAGTATCCCAGCTTAATCAAAATAGAGGCTGCTACCAGTCCTGTTCCAGATCCTACAGAGGTAGAAACAAATCTTTACCATAGGCAAGACTTGAAAATAATGGGCAATTTATTATTAAATTTTTCAAAATGTTTGAAACATGAACAGCAGAAGAGACGAAAACGTTAGCGGGCATAGCCCTACCGGAAATAAAACAGCTAAACATGTGGTGTTTTTAGTTGCATCATAAAAACCATCACACCTGATGGTAAAGGTAAAATGTAACAAGGTCTGTATCAAATGCATTGTCTATAACTCTTGTTCTGACTTATACCATTGTAATGGATGTGCAAGGTAGATATATGCATCATATTATTGTACCAATACTGTACCTTAGCCATCGATCTCAAAAAGAAAAATAAATCTATCAGCGTTTATACAATTTATCTATTGAAAATAACCGGTAACGTTAGCGAACAAAAGTGATATTACCTGCACAAATGCCGTAGGTGACCAAAAGGACGTTAAGGCTGGTGACAAAATAACTGGCCGAGAACCCTATAAAGACCAAGGCTGAACCAATGAGATGTGTGACCCGGCAGTTCGTCGTGGTCACTAGGGAACTCGATATCGGTCCTGTAACCACAGCAACATAACACTGATGTGAGTATCGTTCTGTTACAACTACAAATATTGTATCCCCATATTTTAGGTATAAGACGATGATTCTGGAACTGAAAGTTTCAGATCATCACCAGTACAACGTTTCTAGACTAAAACATCACAAGTCATGCATTCTACTACATTTCTCGCGAGAAAAACTTCCGAAATTTAGATTATGATGTTATATATTCATTGGGTCAATCAGATTGTCCGAGGGTAATAGCCAGAATAAAGTCGAATGATTGATTAAGTGTAATAGACGGTTTTTACATTATCTGGACCTTGCTGAAGAGCAGTAGCAACATAGACACAATACATTATATACTGCATTACTATTTGTTAAATAATAAATCACAATACATATATATGGTAACTTGCCGGAGCAAAATATGTTTTTGTTACTTCTGATAATAATGATTCGATATCATGTACGGCTATTTGAGTTGATCAAAATATGGTTTAGCAAATCATATGAACTACTGCATATCGATAGTGTAAACAAATATTTGGGAGGAATACTGACAAATAAATGTACTTGAGTCCCTCCTTTGCTTTGTCTTAAACAACATTTACTTTAAAACGCGGATATGTATTGCTCGATTATGTAGATTATATATATACAAAAAGTAAAAACATTTCACAGCCATTGTCAGTTTCCACCCCGCGCTTAGTGCAAAGAGTTAAAACGAAAACATTTGCACACGCGAGAATTTCCAATTTTACAGTATACAGGTAAAATGTATCTAACCCTAATATTGTAGTATGTCACAGTCGATTTCCTGTCAGAGAGTGTTTAAGTCACAACGTTTAAAATCACCAATATATAAGCTCATATTTAGTTCAAAATAGGAAGCGGAAGTATTCCAATCAAAAGTTCTATAAAGTATTTTTTGTATCTGCATCTCGTGCATCTTGCTGACTATGTGAAGACTAAACCGCTAAAAACATTAAATGCTCTAATGCAACAAGGCAAGTTACTGAGAACCTATACCTGTGAGACTTAGTAGGCTGGCGAACACAGACCCTACCAGGGCCGTGAAAGCAACGTTCTCGTTGAACTTCGCGAGAAGGGCGACATTAAGAACTCCGGCAGCGTAAGTAAAATAGGCATTCATGACATTAGACAGGAAGCACGCGGCTAGGACCATCCAAGCCCACCCTCGATCCACGCCTTCAAGCGGAGCCGCCATCTTTGTTTCCATGGTAACCGTCACTTCCCTGCTGTCAGATTTTTGTTGTCATTACTCCCACTAGCAACAGAATAAAACTACAAATATTAACTATATTACTCTATTAGAAATATAGACCATAAGGATCCCCGAACCAACGCATAGAAAAAGTACATTTTCTACCATGGAAATTTGACCCGATACATTTTCTTACAAGTGTATTTTTTTATCACTTATCTCATATCATCAGAGAAATTGCAATTACCTATACATGTATGAAAATCTAGCAAAGGCAAAAGTGTTGCATGTAGTACACGGATTTGTTACGGTATTTATTACATAGTCGTATTACACAAGAACATTATTTTCATATCAATGCAACTTACAGTTTATTTACGATCATTTAAATAACGCGCGTTTAATTCATGCACAATACATGTACACTTAATCGCTTTAATACGACCAAATAAAAACTAAAAACACCGCACAATTTGTGGAGTTAAGGATGTTATACCTCGTTAGTATTTAACGTGATAGTGTTTTCATGAACCATGAAACATAATGACATTCAAATTGCCCGATTCTAGTCATTACACACGCAGTGCTATATTTTTCACATTTTTTTCTTCGGCTTCATCATGTTTAACTGTTTTTGTCTCGCCGAAACTTGCTCTGCACCAGTCAAGAGGCTTATGAGAAACTCTTTTTGTCAGAACGCAATAAATAACGAATATTGTGCGAAATTAAAGATCGTTCGTGTTGTTTCTGATTTTGAATCGTCATAAATCAATATTTTAGCGTGTAAGTCGTTTCAAAGGCAATACATTCATCATGAATATCCGTTAACACTTAACACTTCTTTATATGTCATACATGTACTTGGCGAGATGCGTCCCATTTACTGAACTGCTACTGTCAAGTGTTCCATATATTCAAGTCACGCTCACTTTTTAACATGTCCGAAGTATATATGAGAGAATGAAATAATAATCCTTGTAAAGTTAAGCTTTCTGGTAAACTTTTATTTTACGGTAATATCCTCCTCGATATCAAGGGGTTACGCTCACTTTCGTTCTGTGTAGAGAACGAAAGTGAGCGTAACACCTGGATATCGAGGATGTGGTACACGTAATATCGACCTTGACCTTTGACTGATCCCATAGGAGTAATGAAAAGCTGTGTTCGATAATGTTTTATTTTCATTACATTCTAACATTCAATGCATGTCCAAGCAAACAGAAGCTTGATAAACATTCACAAAAGCCAGCCAGTATAGTGTTAGTATTAAAACCACATACGCAACAGCCGGACGTGATGTGTCGAAGTCGGGCACTGACTCAAAACAAGGTGGTGGACTAGTAGTACTAATCAACAGAGAAATTGCCATGAAAACGTCCCCATTCATAGAGGCGTGTTTGCATGGATAAATGTTTGGGAGGAGTGGAATGGGAGCTTGGATGAGAAGGGTGCTTTGATCGATGATTGGTTATTTTGCCTACAGTAACGTTTATGTTTTGAAGTAAAGGGGCATGACTGATATAGAGTCCCACCCACCGGTCTGTACAATGTGTTATGTATCATAAAACACATATTTCGACCTTGATTTTGGTTCGAATGTAGAAAAATTAGTGTTCAAAATGACGTATCACACAGTGTAAATAGGTCCACTACGATTCAACATCAATGAATAGCTGGTAATCGCTCTTGGTATTTAAATAAAGCTCGCGGTTAAGCCTTAAGTTGCTCATAATAGAACGCGACGTTACACATGTGTACCAGCTGTACGTCTGTGTGTGTATGTTGCTATACACAGTGTGCATGTAGGAGAGATGGAGCACGTACAGATATTCGAACAAGCTAATAAATGTGGAACACGTAGCGAATCGGTATATCGTACATTCCCCAGCACCAGAAGTAATTCATTGTTTTCGTGAGAACTATATAGCGTATACACGTAAAACACGTGTCACAACAATACACATACAAAATGGCTTCTTTGGATACACATATCTGGTATAGTAACTCACACAATAAAAGAAACAACAAAAAAGATGTTTAACTTACCTGTGATTCCCGATCATTGCATTTGCTTTCAGCATGTAAATCGTACCTTTCAACACATCCCACATGTATAGTCTTTCAGTCATTGATTGCCGATCAGTCTGCCTCATTTGCGTACCATCGTGTGTGTGTATTGTAATTATGAATCACTGCAGGGGCTCAATCGGTTGACATTTCATTGTAGTGAGCTTACCGTAACAGCATTTCGTCTGTGTTCACATAAACGTAGAAAAAACTTGTTTTGAGCTAATACTTCTTCTTAAAATTATAGTGAGGGAGCAAAATAAAAACGGGAGCAGCTTGGTTATTAAATGTAACGATGTAAATAATGAACAGCTTATTTAGTGTTTAATTGATTTTGTCTAAAAGGATATTTATAGTCTCGGAATCTTTTAGCACACGAGCACAGCCTTATATAATAAAAGTAATATGATTACTTACCCCTCAAGTACCCGTGTGTTGGTTATCATCATGACAACTGTAATTTAAGGAATTAAGACCATATGACTTTTATTTACAGTTTTCTCTCCCCCGTACCTGGAGGCTGCTTCTCTTGGTTTGGTATCGTCCCTGTTCTTGCTGATCGATTTATCTGTATGTATTAGTACCTTTACCCTATTTTTTTCTATGAATTTCTATTTTATTGATATCCCTACTCAGTAATTCCTCCTGTGATTTCCGTCTGTCTTCGATCATGCCTGTGTTTCTGTTGTGATTTTCTGTTTTATTGATATCTCTACTCAGTAATTCCTCCTGTGATTTCCGTCTGTCTTCGATCATGCCTTTGTTTCTGCTGTGATTTTCTATTTTATTGATATCTCTACTCAGTTGTGATTTTCTTTTGTCTGGTTATCGTCCCTGTTCCTAATGATCTGTTTTCGGTAGCGACCCCCTCTTCCTGTTGTGTAATATTATCAAATCGCGCATACTTCAATTTGTCTGCTGATATAATGCAAAATGTCCTGGTTTTAATGAAATTTTGCCAGAATTAATTAAATCAGCGAATGTAATGAATATACCCAAACATGTTCATATAGTATCATAGTGTCTGGTTGACATCTATTTTAACATTATATTATTTTCAGGTGAAAGTAGCAGCTGAGTACTACATTAACTCGATACAACTAACTAGAAAATGGGTTTTTTATGAACTGTATTTCATATATGTGGGGACATGCTAACGAATATTTTTACATCACGTGTCACCCATTTTAAAATAAACATGTATCTCAATTGCAAGTATGTGAAAACAAAACCGTATTTCGTCTTCAAAATCGATAACGTTGGGGCGAATTTACGGACTTACAACAGATATACATTGAGATCCATTCATGATCAATTACATCGACAAGAGAACCAGTTGTTTCGGAAGAGTGCACATCATGTCAGTCTATGTCATATCAAAGGTATAAAGTATGTATGATGGCTAGTATGTGAACTGCAACGTTTGTAATAAACACGACGGTGCTTTGTGACATACTCAATTTGTCAATAGTATTCAGTGGTAATTTATGATTTGTAATTTGTATATATACATTTCTAACAGTCATCGAGTGTCCACTTACGGCATTGATGAACATTGCATCGACTATAACATAGTTATATTATACAGAATCGTGTTCCAAATACTCATTTCAATTTAGCAATATGATATTAACATATGATGATCACATGTATAATCATTTATTATTATTCATTCCTGGTTTCCACTGTACACTAACTCATTACTCCCTCCCCTGTTCCCGTTTTTATTCTGTTGTACATATTACTTCATTCCTGTAGCTTGTGTTTAAAAAATTGATTATGAAGCAGGTAACTACATAATGTCATGACATTTGTTTTTGTTTCCTTTTCTGTTTTATAAAATGTACAAATTGTATTTCAACGTATTGTAAAAAAAAAATGATTAAAACAAAGTTCAAACCAAAAGGGGAAAATCACGATGTAGTCGAGGACCTATATATAATGTTTTTGTAAATTCTTCAATTCTATATTAAAAATTATGACTTTTTAATCATTCTTAAAAAAACATGTAAATAGACATTTAAATCAGGAACTTAGTATCAATGATTAGCTAAGATATGGGTTGAAGTGTATATGGGAAGAAGATTGGACGACATTTTGGATTTCGTGATTTTCATTATCAAGGAAATCTTATTACACACATGTTTGCACTTTCACTGCAAAGCAATGACATAAATAAAGAACAAGGAAGAGATCAAAATAAATGGAATCACAGCTGGAACGGAGGAGAGGAACAAAGAAAACGGAAATCACAATAAAAACGGATAGGAGGTACATGTACCAAGGAAGAAGAAAATCACAACAGAAACGGATGGGAGGTACCAAGGTAGAAGAAAATCACAACAGAAACGGATGGGAGGTACCAAGGTAGAAGGAAATCACAACAGAAACGGATGGGAGGTACCAAGGTAGAAGGAAATCACAACAGAAACGGATGGGGGGAACCAAGGCAGAAGGAAAAAACAACAGAAACGGATGGGAGAAACCAAGGCAGAAGGAAATCACAACATAAACGGATGGGAGGTACATGTAACAAGGAAGAAGAAAATCACAACAGAAACGGATGGGAGGTACCAAGGCAGAAGGAAATAACAACAGAAACGGATGGGAGAAACCGAGGCAGAAGGAAATCACAACAAAAACGGATGGGAGGTACCAAGACAGAAGGAAATGACAACAGAAACGGATGGGAGGTTCCAAGGGAGAAGGAAATCACAACAGAAACGGGTGGGAGGAACCAAGGTAGAAAGGAATCACAACAGAAACGGATGGGGGGAACCAAGGCAAAAAGAAAAAACAACAGAAACGGATGGGAGATCCCAAGACAGAAGGAAATCACAACAGGAACGGATGGGAGGTACCAAGACAGAAGGAAATGACAACAGAAACGGATGGGAGGTAACAAGGCAGAAGGAAATCACAACAGGAACGGATGGGAGGTACCAAGACAGAAGGAAATAACAACAGAAACGGATGGGAGAAACCGAGGCAGAAGGAAATCACAACAAAAACGGATGGGAGGTACCAAGACAGAAAGAAATCACAACAGAAACGGATGGGAGGTTCCAAGGCAGAAGGAAATCACAACAAAAACGGATGGGAGGTACCAAGACAGAAGGAAATGACAACAGAAACGGATGGGAGGTTCCAAGGAAGAAGGAAATCACAACAGAAACGGGTGGGAGCGACCAAGGCAGAAGGAAATCACAACAAAAACGGATGGGAGGTACCAAGACAGAAGGATATCACAACAGAAACGGATGGGAGGGACCAAGGCAGAAGAAAATCACAACAGAACCGGATGGGGGAACCAAGGCAGAAGGAAAAAACAACAGAAACGGATGGGAGAAACCAAGGCAGAAGGAAATAACAACAGAAACGGATGGGAGGTACCAAGGTAGAAAGAAATCACAACAGAAACGGATGGGAGGTACCAAGACAGAAAGAAATCACAACAGAAACGGATGGGAGGATCCAAGGCAGAAGGAAATTACAACATAAACGGATGGGAGGTACATGTACCAAGGAAGAAGAAAATCACAACAGAAACGGATGGGAGGTGCCAAGGCAGAAGACAATCACAACAGTAACAGAAGAGAGATCTAAGACGAAAGCAAATTACACCAAGGGAAGCGGAGACATATGAGAAAAAGAAAATCACAACATTCGGATTTGAGATCAACGACAAAAGAAACTCACAACAGTAACAGAGGGTAGATCCACTTCGTAGCTAAGCAACCATAACTCACGGATGATTGTAATTGAATTGTATTTATATCTATGTACCAATAAAAATACCATAAATGTTCTAAAACAGTAAATATAAAGTTTTTTTATTTTAATTTCATCAATTAATTAAAATATGAATGTTGCGACCTAAATAAGCTTATTAAATATTACTTATAAAGATCAAAAATCGATATATTTTTAATTTCATTTATCTTTTTTTTTAAAGAAAAGTAAACGTGATAAAAGACGTGTTTAATTTAATTAAGCAAAGCTAAGAAAGCTGGTAAAATGTCCAATTTATCTATTCTGAAACAAGGGAGGTGATCCTATGGTACTCTGATTAACCAATCAAAATATTTCGTAATATAGGATAACTTAAAATCATATATAAAGAATTAGTAGAAATTAGATTTTTATGAGTAAGTATCACTATAAATTATGAAAATGCCTCAATATTCTTTGTTATATTCATTTTGATACACCGAGGATTTCCTAAAACCTAGATCATTCTGTCGGGAGTATTAGTTTGGTTGTTTGTGTTTTACGTCCTACTAACAGCTATGTCATTTAAGGACGTGCCAGGCTTTAGTGATGGGGGAAAGCCGGGGTTTCCGCCAAAAAAAAACATCGACCTACGGCCAGTACCTGGCGACTGCCCTACGTAGCTCCCGAACCCTCGACCTAGTGGTGGAGGTCTAGTGGTAGCAAAATATCAGACGCCTTAACCACTTAACTCCTTTCATCAGTTATGTGATCGGTGAAAAGCTGTCCTATGTTCTATTCATATTGTGCCGTCAAACCGTCCATCGTCAATTCTTTCACCTTCCAAATAGCTCATGAGTTTGCATCCCTGATTCTCCAGGGGTTATACTCACGTACGCTCTCTACAGAGAACGCAAACCTGGAGTGTTGAGGATGATCAGGTCGATGATTTCATGCATATAATATATTTATGTATGCATTGATAATATCTTTGACATTTGAAATTACTAAAACCTGTTAAAAACTAATAAATCAAAAGATATGCCTTTCTTTATACATATTTAAAAAATACCATAACCCAGACTATCTTATTACTAATGCATGGAATATGTAAAACTGGTGTTCGTTTCTCACGTCCAGTCCTCTTGTGTAATAAACAACTTATAAAAGTGCTTTCATCATCCTGATAATGTGTTTCCGATCCATTGTACGTAAATTCAATATCCTTCTATTATCCGTGTGTACATATACTTGATATCCGTCATGCCATGAATACTTGCATGCAAACAATTTAAATTTTACCTATAGTACAGACTTCAACAAACATCAATTTCATTTTCACAAATATTTTTTTATTAAAAAGACAATTTAAAATCAATTTCGTCATTTTCCTGTCCAACAACATACAGTTATACGTTCAATTTGTCCAGATTCCTTTAACATCGCTAACTGCCGTAGGTTGTATGTCCCTTGACTTCCGCTCAGATACATTTGGACACCTGTAAGAAACCCCAATCAATTTCAATGACATTGCATGAATATCTACGTTAAACAAAGGGTGTTAAAATATTTCTTATTTGTTTATAAGATTGGAAACATACCAGATATAAATTGACAAAATCGGAAATCAGAGCCAACTGGAAAAGAGAACAACAGGATTCGAAACAGCACCAAAACAAATAGGAAGAAAACATGTTTCCTGCATTACTCTGCTTCCTGGTTATATCTCACTAACTGTTCTGCATTCTATTTCTAGACACACATACATATATGAACCGTTTGTATTTGGCTCTCGATTATCTCAACAATGTCTTTCGCATGAGAAATATTTAATGAACAACTATTGTAAAAATTATTTAATGTCCAATAAAAACGACCGCGACACCGTTAAACAACAACCTAACAGCACATTGTGGTCAAGGCGCTCTTTTATCCCCCTTAAGGTTATGAACGGACGATAGTAAATGATAACTGTACGAACACCTGGTTTATATAGTCAACGACAGACCCCTACATTGACATAGGTATTTGATAACGCAACTAAAATAAATAAAATATGAATATGCAATATGTATAAACAAACGTGACATTTTGTTAACACAATAGCGACAGAAAACTTTCAAAACATCTGTATCATATTTTAAATAGGAATCATCAGTTTGGTAGGATGAAACTGTCAAAATAGTTACTTAAACAAACAATGGTAACATATTATGGTACAGTTTGAAAACACGTGTTTTTATAATCAACCATCAAGTATACATTTGTATGTGTGTACTTAATATCCTTATGAGAAGATAACGGGAGGTAGATTTTCACTTTTCATTTTTAACAATTCAATAGAGTTAAACACAAACAAGAAAAAGGCTATACTTTGTAAAGAAGCTGTAATTCATGCTGGATATGGAAATGTGTTTTTTTTAAATGCCACTGCTTTTATTTAAATCCACTGTTTATAAACGTATTTCGTTTCGTTTGTAACGTATTTCTTAAATTGTACTACAGGTTTAGTTCAGCAAGTATCATGGCTTAGTCGTACACGGTAGTTTTTTTGTATTCATAATAATGCATTTTGGTCATATGTATAAAAAGTATTGCAGAGTGAGTAAAAGTATGGATTTGTGTCGGTCACGAATGTGTATTGCACAGATCGATTGGACTTTGAAGTGCATTCCTGATTTCAGTATAAATCCGCGATCTTTATTAGAAACAGGTATCTCTATGAACACTGCTCTATGCGTATTTCTTATTTTCTGGTGATTTTTGTTCATGTGATCATTACTCAATAGATACGAAATATCTTATTTACAGACAAGGAACGGAAGAAAGCATAAATCAAGTACGGCAGTCAATTTTGGTGACATTGAGTTTTTACACTTACAGAAACATTTCACTACTTGACAAAAACTATTAATCAACTTACTCGATAATTGGAACTATCCAAAAGTTTTTTTAAAATAAGAATGAGTTCAAAGATCAGATACATATGTGCATTCAATTCAACAGAACTGTTATTCAAAAACTAAAAATCGATTAGATTATGGCAAAATATATAAAGGAAAGATACATGTGGAAACACTCAAAATAACATAAAGAATTAGAAGTGTCCGAAAGGGTAAGTAGTCTAGCAGGAAGGTAGGGTCCCCATGCACCCCAAGGATATATTTTTTTAGCCTACATTTTTGTAATCCTCAGGGTATCTAGTAAATCAATATGTATGTTCCCAATGCGAAATATTGTCCCATGGGGTCCATTGGCGGCCATCTTGGCGGCCATCTTGGATTTCTAAAGAGTCTTCTAGCTTCTTCATTGATGAAAACGGAGTTTACATCTACGTCAAATACAAATAATGCCATGTCCTCAAAATAGGGACAGAGGTAGATAGAATGACACCACAAAGGACCCTTACAAGCATAATCAGAAACATCGACATTCATATTGCACAAGAAAATATATTTCCCAATGTGATCATGACGCTGATTATAATGCCCGACAAAAATCTTCAGAAGCCCTTTACTGTAAGTTTGTCCGCATATTGTGATTTTAGAAACAAGACATTAAAAACCCAATAAAATGCAACATGTAACACTGTATGCGGGGAAGCAGAGATGTTTCTGCCAAGAGCATGATATTATACAATCAGAAAATCAAAATCGTCACGCTAATCGTACAGGTAAGAGGTAAGCCGTGACTGACGGTCATGTTGTTCGTCACTCTCCAGGTTCATTAGGTTCCTTTGTTGTGGCGAGAAAGCTGGGTCGATACATTGTAGGGAGAGGGTTAGGTGAATACACTGAATATGGCAGAAGACACATCGTCCTACATGATTTACTTTGATTAACCTTGATCCGGATGGCCGGGAAATGAGCTTAAAGCTCGTATTGGCCCAATTATATGCTACAAGGTAAAGTGTGCATTATTAAAGATGAATTATATGGTTATGGTATAGCATTGAGTTATGCTCACCTTTGTTTTGCATATAAAGTTCATGACGCTATTGCATGTTGATCCCTTTAGAGCAAAGCTATTCTGCAGTGACAGGCTGAGGCAATCATCATTCGCTTCGTTTGATTGTAGTCGAGACATTTCATCAAAGTCAACCTCTGAGAGATCGTCCTTCCAATGCCAGTGACCTGGGAGCATCGCCGACGTGGCTCCCAACCAGAACCCATTACCACTATAGCCACCTGTCAAAAATAATGGTTAATACTTGAGACAAATAATGATTCGATTATTTATTACATTTTCAAAAGTGAAATATTGCAAATGATATATTCTATATCAAAACACTGATTACAAACTCCAATAAAAAAGACCAATCGGAAAGCCTAAGCTCCACGTTTTTAGTGACCTAATCTTTCAAGGCCTGATTAGCTTAACGATACCCATGTCTCGAGAAAATCCTTCTGAGACATAAGTCCAGTCTACTGTCCAGAACAATCATCTGTTACCAATAGTGGGACAACTATTCTCTGGGGGAAACACAACATTTCTTTCCAAAGTTTACTTATGTTCACGGACGCCATTAGACTATGTAGGTCATTCATCTAACTATTTGATAGAAGGAAACCCAAGTCAAATGAAACGCGCGCAGCGTCTCTGACCGATATGTGCCATTTTAGAGACGGGATTTTAAAGTATCAACAACGCGTAGTGATTTGAGTTCATTATTTTTTTATAGTAATTTGCCAAACTTTAATAAAAGTATTAACTAGCGTACCAACTGTAATAAAGTGTATAATTTAAAGAATTTAATAATAGGTTTGTATACTGTTTTAAGTATTTTTTAACTTTGAACTATGTTCTGACGCGTAGGATTGTCCAGACATGCTAGCTATGGAAGGATTAATATCAAGTATTGTCGGCTTGATGGGTTGCTTCGAGTTCCGGGGTACGTTTTTTCTTATAAAAAATGTAATAAACCAAAAGAAAAGAATAGCTAACAGTGTCTTCAGTATTACGAACTATATATATACCACTGTAAACTCGTGTGGCTGATATTTTGCTCACTCGCGAGAGATATCTAAATATCAGCAACACGAGTGAAATTATTCGGTATAACTGACGAGACTGTTAGGCATCCATTTTTAAATAGCAACCGTTTAATTTGGAATAATTGCGATACAAACTGTTTCTGTTGGCGAAGATGAACTGTAGTACGTGATGCACAGTGACTACATATGGACCTTTTGGCAAACGTGAGTGTAAACATCCTATTGTTTTATTAAAATTGGATTAAATGTCGTGGTCACAGCACTATGTACTACAGTCACTTCAAATTCATTCTTTAAGTTAAACCGAAAATACGAGGTGAAACACGCCCCTTTAAGAGAGAAGCTAAGGAGAAAGATGGACCTACGACAGTGCTGTAGGTGTACCTTACAAATGTGTTTGGGTTCATACTTCATAGGTGGAAAGAACTTACAGTTCTGGCAGCACATTATCATTAACCTTTGTGGTTATATTGGAAGATAGGATGAAGCTAGAAAGAGCAGAGAATCGTACACGCCGGGGAAATACCAACAACAACAGGTATGTATTGTATGAGGGTAGCAAAACTGTAACAAAGGAAAATAAAACTGAGGTTGAGATCTCAGTAGAAAATAATGAAATTAACGGCACCTTTGTCAAAAAGCCAAGCTTGTAATAAAGTAATAAGGCCGTCTACCAGAGTGATAAACATGGAAGTTAAACAAAGATATAGATATACCAGCATTGCGTATCTGACCCTTGCATGCGGAGTGCGTTGTCCAATGCCTTCGACAATCGTTACAACATAATACCAAAGTGTGAAAAACATTGCAATCCGAAATCGAAATCGCAGACACTAAAGCACGATATAAATAAGGGGAACGATTTAGATCGAGGTTGTTGAACTAGTACATGGAAAAAAAGGGCGAAGTATTCCAGAAAGGGAAGTGTTTACTATTTAACAATAGTCAAATCTTAGTAATGTTATTCCTCATAGAAAGAGCCTGGGTAGTAACGAGGAAAGCACAAAGTGCACTAATGATCATACTAAACAAATATCGATATTCAACTCACATTATGGTTCACAAGCTGCGATCACAGAGAGTAGGTCGGATAATAGCAGCAAACGGTGAAGCTTTGCCTTCGTGTCAAGCGAGACGGCATGAGAACATATGTGTCAAATATTACGTTGCGACAATATGTGTCAAGTTTTATGATGCATCGGTAGGTGTCGTGTTACTTTACTAAATACAATACATAGCATATTTAATTACTTTCTCGTTGAATGCCATTATAGCTTCTTGTATGGCAGAATATACCGATATTTTCAATCGTGCTTCGACATTTTTACCCGTGCATCTCACTCGTGAGAAATATCGATATTCTGCCAGACTTGTGAAATATATATGATATTCAACGGGAAACCACTGAAATGTCCTTTATCGTGATTTCTGTCCACCATAGGAGCAATAAATCTTAAGACGGGAATATTATCCTGGGATAACATAACATCACACCATACCTTGTGTCTCCTTAGCATAGCCTCTGATGAACTCGTACTCTGCGTTCGACTCGATATGTACCAGCTCCGAACCAAATGCTTCACACATGTACTGTTGGAACAACGTAATAAACTGTAATATTAAGGGATGATATTGCATCAAATTCATTTGTAATGTTGATATTTGATAATATGTTTGCAGGGAATAGATCATACGATTAAAATATATTCAATAATTATACCTAGTGGTTTAATTTCTTATTATTAATTATATTTTATTTTATTACTATCACTTTTCTTAAAAAAAATTTCTCATAATGTTATTTATTAGAGGGATTGTTAGTTCTCGTACCGACGCTTCTGGCCAAGACATGTCCTGGTGATAAAAGCGGAAACATGCGTTACCATACCGGATGTAGCCGTCGGCGCATGTACATATGATATCTAAAATGAAATTGACAATTATTAACGCAGATTAACGATGTTGTAATTCACTGTTTACCACTTGACACCACGACGGAAAGTAATGCATATATATATATGTATGTTAATTTGGTTCATATTTAAAAGATTCAAAGACCGTATTCGTTTGAACATTTGTATAAACCTCATTTATCATAATTTACACATGATAACATTTTATGAATAAATTATGTGTTGTTTAAAGACACATTACCTTGTTTTGAACGAACTTCAACAAACGTGGAAACATTCAGTCCCCCACGTGCACATGTGTATACACCAGTGTCTTTTAATAAGGCAGCTGTTAATCAAAACACGGGTATTTATGTCATATTTGATTTAATATCATTTGGATACAGTAATGATATAAAAAATATCAAAGTTTTGCATGCCTATAATTCAGCTTTTTGATGATACTATTTTTGATTTGTTCCATATAAAACGCACATGTATCGAAATGTTAGACTGTAATTACGTTTAAAGAATAAATCAGAATATCATTGAGGTTGTCAGTCAAAGCGACGAATAAGACAACTGGTAACACTATATTGGCCTGATAGGAATTAAATCGATAAAGTAGATCTAAACAAGTACATATTCATAATAACATTAAGTTGTTTTCTACATTTTTCCATGAAATATCAAACCTCGAAAAATATCCCTACAAGAAAATAGTAATTATATCGATAACTTGACAGAAAAAGAAACTGTTTTAACATACCTTTGACAACAAGAAAGAAACTGAAGTCGCTTTGGGCGGAAAAGGATACTTCGTACTTATCGCTGTCGATACCGGTCTTGAGGTCGTTGTTTTGTGAAAGCGAGACCCGATTCCCAGGTGTTGCGTCTGCTGTCTCCTGTGGAGTAAATATGAACTCCATGGGCTCAATCATCAGCTTTGTTGCCAGGCCATCCGTGGTACAGTTAATAGTGAAGTCCGTACTTTCCATTACCATAAGGTCCCGCGTTGACATCGTGATATGCACAGGATCAGTTTGGGTACTTCCGGTTGTTCCTGTGTATAGTTAGTTTTGAAATGAAACAATGATTTAAAGCATGGCTTCTGGTGAAATTAAATTAAGAGGAATACTAAATCAGATATTTTATGTGATTCAACATCAAAACAAATTCGTAGAATTAAAATCAAATATGATCTAGTGTCTCAAATAAAGAAAAGCATTCATCTAGAATGTATCCGTGTATAACTAATTTGGTATGTTTTGTCATTTTCGTTAAGTATACTCGACCTTGGCTCTTTGACATACAGACTCTTTCAAGGTGTAACATACTCGATGAAATCCATTACTCACTTTTTATTTATAGCATAGATATGATTAAAAGTCCGGTCACAAATGAAGTTCTTCCAGCACAAGGGACCAGTACAATCGTTAACGATGACATTGACCTTGCCACATTGAGACACGTTAAGCCGCCAAATCACTAAATTATTTTACAATTTTTTATAAACAGTACCACTGATTTTTACTTTGACGTTGGGAAACACTAACTTAAGATGGCTCCACACATCGTCATCAGCGTCCATTTTCGTGACGTACTTCCGGAAAAAGTACAGCTCAGACTCAATTATCTTGATCTAAATGTGCATATGCACCGTGACGTCATTTCCGTATTGCGTATCGGGTATTCAATATCGTAGTGCAAATTATAGTAACACAGGGCCGTTTTCGTTTAAACGGTCGGACCATTGTTGTTCGTTTGTTAAATAAGGTCGGACCTAGTAATCTGATGCTGCTTTCAGGCGAGCCCTGAGAAAGCCTTACAAGGCCTGCATACACATTTGCAGGTCCGCCAGGATTTATACCCGAAATTGTTATATTTATAAACGGTCAAACCGGTTGTTCCGCATAAACGAACAGGCAAACAATAGTACACGTGCGTGCCGATGATACATGTATATGGCAACACCCGATATCGAGATTTTACCGGGAAATGTATAATCACACGTAGTTGAGGAATAAAGCTTTCCAATTCATAGACATAAACAGACTCACGGGAAGACAGTGACATGAGACCAGACGACCTCAAAAAGCACATGTGCATATCACGTGCTTACACGAGTTCATAGGCTCGAGGTCGTTACGATTTTCGCTGTTAAGCGAGTTTCGCTCTGTCGATTAAATGGTTTTTACAAATGTAGTCTGCTTACTCTGTGAAAATAATGTTTTGTAAAGTATCAAGATCCCTATGAAATGCATGTGTGAGTGCACGTGAGAACGGCATACCTACCTGACATGTAATTATAAATATACCGTGAGTTAGCGGACTGTGGAATGATGACCAAAGTGTACATGACTGAGAGTAATTTGGTTCCATTAAAGAACAATAAATTGATAATTTTGATATCATATTTTTGATTTATTTCCATCATTTTTGTTATATGTAAACAGAGACAACTGTCATTGTGTAAATTTCATCCCTCTACAAAAAGTTCCGATTTTTTTCAAGGAAGATAAACTCTCACCCGGATCAAAGTGATTGTAAAATGTAAAATAAATTAATTATAAAGCCATTGTGTATATTTTGTTCAATTTCACACTCTATATGTATAGATCTTTGTATCCTGTTTGCTTGTAGCTTGTAGATAATCACTTTTATCCGTACAAATTCAATAAAAAAACACTTTGTGTAACATGTGTTACATATTTTGCGATAAATCAAATATTTGTAGGGTTAATTAAAAATGCTTCTTTTCATTTTTTTATTGTTGTTATTGTTCCGAACAATGCCACAAACAAACAAAAACGGAAAATATTAAAATTGACGAAAATTCAATTTTTTGGTATTTTTTCCAAAAAAGTCCCCAAACTATCGGAATGTATAGATTTTCATAAAATCAACTCTACATAGTTGCATAAACATTATATGAAAGTTTCAACGAATTTTGCTGTTTAATTGCGAAAGTGTGGAGCAACCTTAATCGTCTTACAACCTTTGTATGAAATTTGATCAAAATCCGTAAAATATCACGAAGTCGTTAGAGTGGTACATGTAATACTGGACTGTTTAAGCAATGAATGATTTAGCAAATGTTGCTATGGTCCTATAACACACATTGCCATTGATGTAAAACTTACATGTACATGTACATAGACAATAACAATATTTGCTATAATAGTAATTATTTATATTTACATTTCGATAGAGTAGTTATGCTTTATTTTTATTATTTCGAACAATTCTTGAACAGCACATTAAGTGTAGACAACAATGAAATTAAATTGATGACGTCACATTTTTTTTTTAAAACGTTAATGACTTCCCACCCTTCGTAAAACACATGTTTCCATATGAGGCGCATGGAATGCAGACTGATGTGTTTTGTGTACCGACCTCACCTGTACATAGCACGTGCTAACACAAGTTAACAAGCTCGGGTCGCCACAATTTTTGTTGTCGAACGAGTTACGCTCTGTCAGGTAAATCTTTTTACAAATGCAGTTTTTTAAAATGTCAAGATACCTATAAAATGCAAGTGCATGTGCGTGCAAGTGATAACGGCATACCATGCGATAGCCTATGGTTACATATGTACCTTACATGTAAATATATCATCTGTAAGCGGGCTATGAAATGATGTCCAAAGTGTATATGATTGAGACTAATTTGTTCCAGAAATAAAGAACAGTAAATTGACTATTTTAATATCATAATTTAATTTATTTCCGTCGTTTTAGGTAGAGTAAAGAAAACAACTGTCATTGTATAAATTCTATCCCTCTGCAAAAAGGTCCTCGGTTGTTTCAAGGTAGACAACTCTCATCCGGATTAAAATGATTGTTAAAAGTAAAATTAATGAATTATAAAGACTTTGTGTATATTTGGCTCAATTTTTCACTCTTTTTGTATGAAACTATCTGTCCTGTTTGCTTTTAGCTTGTATATAATAACTTTTATCCATACAATATCAATTAAAATCATTTTGTGTAACATGTTTCAGATATTTTATGATAAATATAATATTTGTAGGGTTGATTAGCAATGCTTCTTTTCATAACTTTATTGTTGTAATACTTTTGAACAATGTCACGCACTCAAAACATGTGAAAGTGTTAAATGTGACAAAAAATCAATTTTTCGGTATTTTTCCTAAAAGATCCAAAGTTTTTCTGATTGCTTAGATTTTCATAAAATCATCCCTACAAAGTGACACAACCATTGTGTGAAAGTTTCATTGAATTCTGCTGGTTAATTGCGAAAGGGTCGAGCCTCCTTAAAATAGCAAATGTTGTTATAGTTTCACAACAACATTTGCATTATCAATGCATAGCAATGGAAGGATGGAAAGCCAACGTAAATATTTATAAATATCAACAGTGAACTTGCACTGACCTTTCAACAACGACATACATAACAGTTGAAGTTTTAAGGAAAATGCGTAAAGAATCGAAGTCACTACAGAGATGAGACTGAACCTGAATCTGACAGTGTGTGACGGGACGGACATGTAAACCAGTGTATGGTCACTATCACTTTTTGTATCGTTGTCTGGGGAAAAGAAGTCAAATAAACAAAATACACAATTGAACAAGTGTAACACAAAACCATGGTCCGTCACGCAATCCAGATACATGTAGTATGATCATTCAACTTACCTTTAAAACAGAAGAGGATCAGACTCGCGAGAAAGATCATTATTTTGCCGTCTAAATGAAGAGAAAACAGTTATCATTACAAGTTTTATATAATATCAAAATACCTTAGAGCCATCGACATTTCTGATTTAAAATTTTTGATTTCAAACTTAAATAAATGCAATAATAAGACATTCAAAATATAGTTTTCATAATTCTTTCTTACCTGTGTGCTGTTTCCACGTCTCTTTCGGAATATAGTTTGTTTTCGTCTAACAAGTGTTTAGTTATCGGGCAAGGAGCTGAACAGCATCCGGTTTATCACTTATCGACACCAGAGAGACTTTAAAGGCGCACGTGAAAACTAGTTCAAGATGCCAGACAAAATTACCAAAGCTTAACTGGTAGCCATCTTACCTTAGGTTACGGTCAATGAAAGTCGAAATCACACTATATACTGTTGTCAGTATTTTGCTGGATTGCTTATATTTCTTTTTTTATGATTTTCTGTTTATGATTATGTTTAAAAACAACAAAATATGTATTTTCTAAATCGATTTCACATTGGTCCACAGGGTAACATCCGATTTAATAAATACGTAATATTTTACATGTCTTAATATATGCGAAATATTATCTTATTTAAACTAGTCCTTATGAAACAATTTCAATTGGTTTTCAAATTGATGTATGAATCATATCGATCTGATAAAACTGAAATTTATAACTCAATATCTTTTAAAATATATGGATTTTTCATGTGACCAAATCATTCCAAACTGTATTTTCTATTCACCGCATTATCTGTTTAATCATTAGAATATACAATGTACCAGACGGTATCAACTTAACAACACAGTTGACAAATCATTATATAATAGCACTTCACAGGAAGAAATAGAAAATAGGTGGCTTTGCGCTTGGTAGCCCACTCAGTAATGCGTGCAGTCATTATGCTTGGTAGCCCACTCAGTTATGCGTGCAGTCATTACGCTTGGTAGCCTACTCAGTAAGGCGTGCGGTCATTACGCTTGGTAGCCCACTCAGTAATGCGTGAAGTCATTACGCGTGGTAGCCCACTCACTAATGCGTGCAGTCATTATGCACGGTAGCCCACTCAGTAATGCGTGCAGTCATTATGCATGGTAGCCCACTCAGTAATGCGTGCAGTCATTATGCGCGGTAGCCCACTCAGTAATGCGTGCAGTCATTACGCTTCATAGCCTACTCAGTAATGCGTGCAGTCATTACGCTTGGAAGCCCACTCAGTAATGCGTGCAGTCATTACGCTTCGTAGCCTACTCAGTAATGCGTGCAGTCATTACGCTTGGTAGCCCATTCAGTCATGCGTACAGTCATTACGCTTGGTAGCCCACTCAGTAATGCGTGAAGTCATTACGCGTGGTAGCCCACTCAGTAATGCGTGCAGTCATTACGCTTCGTAGCCCACTCAATTATGCGTGCAGTCATTACGCTTGGTAGCCTACTCAGTAATGCGTGCGGTCATTACGCTTGGTAGCCCACTCAGTAATGCGTGAAGTCATTACGCGTGGTAGCCCACTCAGGAATGCGTGCAGTCATTACGCTTCGTAGCCCACTCAGTAATGCGTGCAGTCATTACGCTTCGTAGCCCACTCAGTAATGCGTGCAGTCATTACGCGTGGTAGCCTATTCAGTAATGCGTGCAGTCGTTACGCTTGGTAGCCCACTCAGTAATGCGTGCAGTCCTTACGCTTGGTAGCCCACTCACTTATGCGTGCAGTCATTACGCTTGGTAGCCCAATCAGTAATGCGTGCAGTCATTACGCGTGGTAGCCTATTCAGTAATGCGTGCAGTCATTACGCTTGGTAGCCCACTCAGTAATGCGTGCCGTCATTACGCTTCATAGCCGACCCAGTAATGCGTGCAGTCATTGTGCTTGGTAGCCCACTCACTGATGCGTGCAGTCATTACGCTTCGCAGCCCACTCAATTAAGCGTGCAGTCATTACGCTTCGTAGCCCACTCAATAATGCGTGCAGTCATTACGTTTGGTCGCCCACTCAGTAATGCGGGCAGTCATTACGCTTGGAAGCCCACTCAGTAATGCATGCAGTCATTACGCTTGATAGCCCACTCATTAATGCATGCAGTCATTATCATTACGCTTGGTAGCCCACTCAGTAATGCGTGCAGTCATTACGTTTGGTAGCCCACTCAGTAATGCGTGCAGTCATTACGCTTCATAGCCTACTCAGTAATGCGTGCAGTCATTACGCTTGGTAGCCCACTCAGTAATGCGTGCAGCCATTATGCTACGTAGCCCACTCAGTAATACGTGCAGCCATTACGCTTTGTAGCCCACTCAGTTATGCGTGCAGCCATTACGCTTGGTAGACCACTCAGTTATGCGTGCAGTCATTAGGCTTGGTAGCCCACTCAGTTATGCGGGCAGTCATTCCACTTGGTAGCCCACACAGTAATGCGTGCAGTCATTACGCTTGGTAGCCTACTCAGCTATGCGTGCAGTCATTACGCTTGTTAGCCCACTCAGCAGTAATGCGTGCAGTCATTACGCTTCGTAGCCCACTCAATAATGCGTGCGGTCATTACGCTTGATAGCCTACTCAGTTATGCGTGCAGTCATTCCACTTGGTAGCCCACACAGTAATGCGTGCAGTCATTACGCTTGGGATCCCACTCAGTAATGCGTGCGGTCATTACGCTTGATAGCCTACTCAGTTATGCGTGCAGTCATTCCACTTGGTAGCCCACACAGTAATGCGTGCAGTCATTACGCTTGGTGGCCCACTCAGTAATGCGTGCAGTCATTACGCTTCATAGCCGACCCAGTAATGCGTGCAGTCATTACGCTTCATAGCCGACCCAGTAATGCGTGCAGTCATTACGCTTGGTGGCCCACTCAGTAATGCGTGCAGTCATTACGCTTGGTAGTGCGTGCAGTCATTACGCTTGGTAGCCTACTCAGTAATGCGTGCAGTCATTACTCTTGGTAGCCCACTCAGTAATGCATGCAGTCATTACGCTTGGTAGCCCTCTCAATAATGCGTGCGGTCATTACGCTTGATAGCGCACTCAGTTATGCGTGCAGTCATTAGGCTTGGTAGCCCCCTCAGTTATGCGTGCAGTCATTACGCTTGGTAGTGCGTGCAGTCATTACGCTTGGTAGTGCGTGCAGTCATTACGCTTGGTAGCCCACTCAATAATGCGTGCGGTCATTACGCTTGATAGCCCACTCAGTTATGCGTGCAGTCATTACGCTTGGTAGCCTACTCAGTAATGCATGCAGTCATTATGCTTGATAGCCCACTCAGTAATGCGTGCAGCCATTATGCTACGTAGCCCACTCAGTAATGCGTGCAGCCATTACGCTTGGTAGCCCACTCAGTAATGCGTGCAGTCATTACGCTTGGTCGCCCACTCAGTAATGCGTGCAGCCATTATGCTACGTAGCCCACTCAGTAATACGTGCAGCCATTACGCTTTGTAGCCCACTCAGTAATGCGGGCAGTCATTATGCTTGGTAGCCCACTCAGTAATGCGTGCAGTCATTGCGCTTGGTAGCCCACTCAGTAATGCGTGCAGTCATTGCGCTTGATAGCCCACTCAGTAATGCATGCAGTCATTACGCTTGGAAGCCCACTCAGTAATGCATGCAGTCATTACGCTTGGAAGCCCACTCAGTAATGCATGCAGTCATTATGCTTGGTAGCCCACTCAGTAATGCGTGCAGTCATTTCTCTTGGAAGCCCACTCAGTTATGCGTGCAGTCATTAATGCATGCAGTCATTACGCTTGGTAGCCCACTCAGTAATGCGTGCAGTCACTTCTCTTGGAAGCCCACTCAGTTATGCGTGCAGTCATTACGCTTGGTAGCCCACTCAGTAATGCGTGCAGTCATAACGCTTGGTAGCCCACTCAGTTATGCGTGCAGTTATTACGCTTGGTAGCCTACTCAGTAATGCGTGCAGTCATTGCGCTTGATAGCCCACTCAGTAATGCATGCAGTCATTACGCTTGGAAGCCCACTCAGTAATGCATGCAGTCATTATGCTTGGAAGCCCACTCCGTTATGCGTGCAGTCATTACGCTTGGTAGCCCACTCAGTAATGCGTGCAGTCATTACGCTTGGTAACCCACTCAGTAATGCGCGCAGTCATTACGCTTGGTAGCCCTCTCAGTAATGCGTGCGGTCATTACGCTTGGTAGCACACTCAGTAATGAGTGCAGTCATTACGCTTGGTAGCGCACTCAGTTATGCGTGCAGTCATTACGCTTGCTAGCCCACTCAGTAATGCGTGCGGTCATTACGCTTGGTAGCCCGCTCAGTAATGCGTGCAGTCATTATGCATGGTAGCCCACTCAGTTATGCGTGAAGTGATTCCGCTTGGTAGCCTACTCAGTAATGCGCGCAGTCATTACGCTTGGTAGCCCTCTCAGTAATGCATGCAGTCATTACGCTTGGTAGCCCTCTCAGTAATGCGTGCGGTCATTACGCTTGGTAGCCCGCTCAGTAATGCGTGCAGTCATTATGCGTGGTAGCCCACTCAGTTATGCGTCAGTAATGCATGCAGTCATTATGCTTGGTAGCCCACTCAGTTATGCGTGCAATCATTATGCTTGGTAACCCACTCAGTAATACGTGCAGTCATTACGCTTGGTAGACCACTCAGTAATGCGTGCGGTCATTACGCTTGGTAGCCCGCTCAGTAATGCGTGCAGTCTTTACACTTGGTAGCCCACTCAGTCATGCGTGCAGTCATTACGCTTGGTAGACCACTCAGTAATGCGTGCGGTCATTACGCTTGGTAGCACACTCAGTAATGAGTGCAGTCATTACGCTTGGTAGCTCACTCAGTAATGCGTGCAGTCATTACGCATGGTAGCCCACTCAGTTATGCGTGAAGTCATTACGCTTGGTAGCCTACTCAGTAATGCGTGCAGTCATTGGGCTTGATAGCCCACTCAGTAATGCATGCAGTCATTACGCTTGGTAGCCCTCTTAGTAATGCGTGCAGTCTTTACGCCTGGTAGCCCACTCAGTAATGCGTGCAGTCATTACGCTTGGTAGCCTACTCAGCTATGCGTGCAGTCATTACGCTTGTTAGCCCACTCAGTAATGCATGCAGTCATTACGCTTGGTAGCCCACTCAGTAATGCATGCAGTCATTATGCTTGGTAGCCCACTCAGTTATGCGTGCAGTCATTACGCTTGATAGCCCACTCAGTAATGCATGCAATCATTACGCTTGGTAGCCCACTCAGTAATGCATGCAGTCATTACGCTTGGTAGCCCACTCAGTAATGCATGCAGTCATTATGCTTGGTAGCCCACTCAGTTATGCGTGCAGTCATTACGCTTGATAGCCCACTCAGTTATGCGTGCAGTCATTACGCTTCGAATTCCTGCACGTTCTTATGGCAGTAGCTTTTTCTCTTATGCATTACAATTGTTATAGAGGAAAACTAATGATTTTTTTTCCGTTACGAAGAGTGTGAATATTCAAAATAAATCTATGAAATCACCTCTACATATACTTTGATTTCATTATTGTTTATCGGTTGCTGTTATTGAGCAGTCAGATTTTGAGTAAGTGAACATAACTTAGGAAATACTATGCCTATTTTTTGTGTGTTGTTACTAAAAGGATATGGTTTTACATTAATAAAAGTCACATATTCTTTCACTTTTCACTTTGTGGGGTTATTTCACTTTAACATGTAGTAAATCTTACCATTTAGACAATATTCAATAAAATATACTAAACATGTTTCTTTAAACGTCAGTGTAGTTGGGAGATGTTCTCACTGTACCGGTTATGTGAGGTCGAGGACAAATCACCCCGGTGGTCCCTTACTATCGCTACTTTGGTGTATCTTCCCGATAATGATCAATAAACATGGAGAGGAAGGGAGAACTCTGTAGTTCTCCCCACTGTTTTTTGGCTTCCAAAACATCTCGAGTTGCCATAGAGATGCTATCTAATCGATAATTTGAGTGCAGGAACCCGAATAATCGGTTTTACGTCCCGACTGAGAAACTTTTTTTTCTACAGGCGGCTGTTTGTACACTAGCATAAGTTTTTGTTGCAAAGATTTTGTGTAATACATAGGTAATGTATGCATAACAGATTTACTTACACACCTGAAGCTGACGTAGCACATTCGAACATTACGTATTGCGTATATTACCAAATGAAATTAATTGGCACTAAAAAAATCATGAAACTGCTGTAATGATGTAACGAATGTATCTGATTGGATATCTTTGGATTGCGTTTCTGAAGTAAATGTTAGCATAATGTCTTTTCACTATGCAATGCAATACACATTCATTGCCAAATGAAAGAAATTATTCCGAAATACAATAACTGTTTAAGGTGAAAGGTACCATTTCATCAGTTCTAATTGCAAAGAAGAGTTCCACTCGGAGGTGTTTTGACGTGTAGGAGCCTAAAGGAGTTTTTCTGAATAAGAGTTGCCTCCCCAGTCACAGTTTTCATATGATATGTTGCCTATGAATTGGACACTCAGTTTGCTGTATTTGTATAATTTCTGTATAGAAACGTTGGTAAACAATAAGCTTGGTAATGTAATGTTCCTTGTTTCTATTTTCAAACATTCACATTTCGAATAACAAATGCATGGCAGCATATGGTTTAACATCTTCGCTAGCCAAGGGTTACGGTTCGGTACGATCCGGTCTTCTTACTCTTCAAGAGTAGGTAGATCGTACCGGATCGTAACCCTAGGCTAGCGAAGATGACGGTTTTAAGAATCATTTATTGTAAAAGGGTCATTGGTAATGATATAGTTAAACTTGTTTGTACCCTAAACGTTAATGGACTTACATAAATACATTTCTTTATATATTAGTTCTGTTTCCGATTGGTGACAAAATTGTCATGAACTATGATGTCACAATGAAAGTTGATATTGCAAAGCATTCCACTTGTTGTCATAATAAGAAGAATGACAAATGAAAGATCATCGACGTGTTTACCAACTCATTGAAGGGTTATCACTGGCAGGTTTATCCAGTAATAAACCAGTAGTGGTTTTGGGAGAAATGTCATCACTCAATATTTCTAGTGTTCTTATGTGATTAAACTTGAGGAAGTCTGTTGTAAGTTATTCGATTATATTTGTATAAGTAAAAGGTAATAGTGACAGCAATCTGTGAATCCTCCCGAGACACAAGCATTTAATTATCGCATTACAAAACAAAATGCAGGACAAAGGACGTTAATAGCACTGTAAGTACATTGTAGTTTACGACTCCATGAATATGTAATATGTTGTGATGAATTTCGTAGTATTTTCGGATAAAGTATGTTAGTACTAAATAAAATAATTTTCCGAAAATTTACTTTGGTATGGAAATAAACCATGATCCTTATATAAGTGTATAAATATACCTGTTAATGAATTTCATTATATATGTAAATAAAACATGATCCTTATATAAGTGTATAAATATACCTGTTAATGAATTTCATTATGTATGTAAATAAACCATGATCCTTATATAAGTGTATAAATATACCTGTCAATGAATTTCATTATATATGTAAATAAACCATAATCCTTATATAAGTGTATAAATATACCTGTCAATGAATTTCATAATATATGTAAATAAACCATGATCCTTATATAAGTGTATAAATATACCTGTTAATGAATTTCATTATGTATGTAAATAAAGTATGATCCTAAGTGTATAAATCTACCTGTTAATGAATTTCATTATGTATGTAAATAAAGTATGATCCTAAGGGTATAAATATACCTGTTAATGAATTTCATTATGTATGTAAATAAAGTATGATCCTAAGTGTATAAATATACCTGTTAATGAATTTCATTATGTATGTAAAAAAAAACATGATCCTTATATAGGTGTATAAATATACCTGTTAATGAATTTCATTATGTATGTAAATAAACCATGATCCTTAGTGTATAAATATACCTGTTAATGAATTTCATTATGTATGTTAATTAACCATGATCCTAAGTGTATAAATATACCTGTTCATGAATTTCATTATGTATGTAAATAAACCATGATCCTAAGTGTATAAATATACCTGTTGATGAATTTCATTATGTATGTAAATAAAGTATACGTGTACCTAGTGAAATGATTGTAGATAGTAATATTATATACATGCATGTATTCAAAAACACCATGGACCTCAGTGCACCGAGCAGCTGTAGTAAGCTGTTAGTGGATATGATAAACACTATGCAATATCGTATTTGACGTGTTACACAGAAGATCAAAGGTTCATCATTTTGTCATTGTCTTGCACTCGTACTGCGCTGGAACATTAAAAGATATTACACGGCTAACTGGCCATCAATGGTATCACACGCTTTGTTTTAGATCTGACTGTCCTAATTATTAACGTCTTTTGTGTTATAAATAGCGTCTTACTATATCCCAACTGAACTTGTGTATATCGTAAAAGGGTATATAACAGGGTTACGTATTCTTACTTCTCATAAAGGATTTCTAATGGATACCTAACACAATGGTCGAGTTATTTGACAACAAATGATTTAGAGCAAGTCTTCCGTGGACAGTTGAATGTAAGTCATTACCAAACAATGTTTATTTTCTATTGATATTTGTTATTGTATATCCAAAGTATGTATGTCACTATTTCTATGTTTTCATTGAATCAATTAACTCGTAGGATGTGTGCGATAGGATTATAGGTATACAAAGCGTTTAGTCTCTGTGAGGTGAACTATAAAGCTTTCCACAGAGTCTGACAAAACTCTGTCCTTTGAAAGCTTTGCGTATTATCGGGAGGATTTCTAAATGTTTGTGATATTATATATGTAGTATTGATCGTCACGAAACATAATGTCTGGTAGCGGTTTGTATGTAGCTATTTCATCCATTCACGGATACACTTAGGGAGTTTCACAGGAACAATACTTAAATATATACCGTACAGCAGGATAGTTTGCGGGTCAATTATGTGATCCCGAAAATATGATCCGCACAATACATAATAACACAATCGTAAAAAGCAGCCGTTATATATCAAACTTCATAACCGTGATGTCGTCATAAGATAACGTGCACGTGGTTGTGACAATTCATATACTTAAAGAGAAAGGATATTCGACAAATATGGTATATCAGGCGTCTATTTGAGGATGATTTGTTTAACAAAATACGATGAATTCTTGTTGCTCAATATGCTCAATTTGACATTTTTTATATCTCTCTACTGAAATACCGCTAAATGTTCGTTCCCTCGCATGTTAATTTCGCGAAATTATAAGCCGTGTAAATTGAATTTTCTTGTTTTTGGGGTAAAAATCGCGAAAATTAAAGTCCGTGTAAATAACCCTCTATACGGTATTCCACAACAATCCTGAAATTCTGGAAAAACCTATGACATCATGATTCCAACTATGCCACTGTGGCACTTTGCTGTTACTTTATTCATATGTACCATTTTATAAATCTCCACGTTTTCTTATAGATCTGATGTCATTTTCAATCATGAATGAAAATTTAAAAACACAAGAATATTTCATCAGAGCTATAATTAGAAATATGACGTCTTGGTTATTTTACATTTCCTTCTAATTGGGAGTTATTTTTTTCCCATCCCGGACATAATTATTGGCGGATTTCCCTGTATGGTAGTTCACTGTCTACAACCTGGTGTATCGACATGCTACACTTGCAGAAAAAAAGGTCACGGTGTTATGGTTGACAACGTTAGTACTAAAATATATAAAGAAAACAACACATTAGAGAACGTGTCAAAAAACACTTAGTCAAAATCAAAATAGTTCGTAAACCAAGGCCAAAAATAATTAAAGGAATTATTTACAACGATACGTGTGAAAAAGTACAGGGGAATAACACCAGGTGTATTGGAAGGACAGCCACCAGGTTGCAAATCTAGGTCAAAACCAAGTAACGTTACGTACTCATAATTAAGGGTAGTTACAACGAAACAACAAAGCACACTAGTTCGCCGTGTCTGGATAAAAGTTCTATAAATAGGCTTACAGGTATAAACACAGAGGTACAATACAGCTATCCTTCAGCGTAGTATGTTAACATCGTGCCATGCAAAACAGAATTCTTATATAATAGTGTTTTTTAGCGAAATTACCCAACAGGGTTTTGAAACTGGAAAATTTATAGAGTTTCTATATACTTTCTTGTTCAGTGCCTGCTGCTTGGGAAGTGGAAACCTGTACATGGAAATATAGATTAGTCTCTCCGTGGTGGGAACATATTCTATTAGTGTCTATATATTCCTTTACAATATAGTATTATGTTCAAAATCTGCCAAATTCTCCCTTTCTTAATTATCTTAACTATGAAAATCAGAATGCAGTATCCATGGCTGGCCCCAAAACTCATGGGTGGATGACCAGTGGCTGATAAGCCAATATGGACATTTTCGGTCTGTATCCCATGAGTGGAAGGAATCCTGTCATGGATGCTGGATTCGAGGCTCTAAAAAAAAAAAAAAAGTTTGGAAAACATAGTGAATACACTATTTCACATATTATAACAACCCCCTCAATTTTGTCCTTACTTCCAAACTCATATATCATTTTTAAACATTTTATGTTTCATACTTAAAATAATCAAATTTGAAATTTCAAAATAGCAACATATTATTTTATATATATATATATATATATATTTATACACCCATTGTTACCTTTAGGAGAGAACTAATATAGGCTATGCCTGTTGTTCAATCCTTTTTCTAAATCAAATAAAATTTAATGAAATGAAAATAGAATAATGTTCATACAATGTGAATTGCTATTGTCTTACAATTTATACAAAGACTTTCTCTTCTAGATATATAACAATGGACCCAACTGATAAAAGCTACGTTCAAAAATTAAAGGAAAGATTCCTGGAATGTCCTGTATGTTATGAAGAGTTTTCTCAAAAAGGTCGACTCCCAAGGGTCCTACCGTGTCTACATACACATTGTGATACCTGCCTGAAATCAATCATAAAAGATGCTAGTGTTACCTGTACGTTATGCCAAAAAACATACCCTGTTCCTGATGAGAACCTTGGTATATTTCCTACTGACTATACTCGTAAGGATCTTCAGGATTTCGTTCGTGCATCACTCCGTAGGCCTGATTTAGTGTGTGAGGGGTGTGGTTCTAACGATGTTGCTAAATATAGATGTACAACATGCTCCCATTTCTTGTGTGACGCATGCAGAGACGCGCATCAACGTCTGGTATTTCTACAAGGACACGAAGTATTCTCTCTTGACGAAGAGCAAAGTTTAGAGGAAAATATTAGCAAATTTACGCACCAAGCGTTTTGTTATACACAAGGACATGAACGGGAAGCAATGCACTACTACTGTACAAGCTGTGATAAATCCATCTGTACACGATGTTTTCTAATACACCATAAGACACACGCCGTTGAGGACATCCAGGAAGTTTACAACACAAAGAAGACAAAGCTTCAAGAAGAAGCGCAGACGTTGCATCGTCGCATTGCTGAATGTAGCAACATCAGAACAAAGGTAAAACAGGCGAAAGAAGGAGTTGACAATAATATGTCTAAATCGGTTGAGGAGCTGAATGCCACATTCAAAACTCTAATACAGTTGCTGACAAGACGCAAGGAGGATTTGATGACTGAACTTAATGTGGCAGCACTAAGAAAGAAGGAAGTTCTTGAACACCAAGACGAATCTCTTGACATAATTGTCAAATCAATCGAAAACTGTTGCGATTTCCTGCACCAGAGTCTTACCTCAAATAATCAACCAGCCTTTCTAAAGATAGCCCCAGTGATCGCCAGACGATTTTCATACCTCCAAAGCCTTGATTTAGATAAAGAGCCATTTGAATCTTCTTTTCTATCTTTCAATGGCCTCAATATAGGATTAAAATTTGGAACATTTATCCAATCGTTGGGAAATGTTGAATCTTCTGCCTTCTATCGACCGAAAACACGTGTCCATGCAGAGCCAGTTACCAGTGACAGTCCAGGCAAAATAATCATTGAACTTCAGAATTACGAAGGGAAACTGCTGGACGAACACTTAGAGATAGAGGCCACTGTGTCGAAGGACGGTGAGATACATTCAAAGACCAGTCTAGCACACCGGGACGGTGGTACGTACGAGATGATACTTCCGGCGCTTGGTTCCTGTGAACTGTGTCTGAAGACCTTTGATGACCGGATGCCTGTATGGGAGGGACGAGTCCCCAAATCAAATGGTAAGTAAGACGTATTTCTTACCTTCATTCGCACATACTTAATACATGTCACTGTACTAGCTTGATTTATTTTAGCCAAGCTGTTTATTATTATCTATTTCTTTAAATATGATCTGTATATGTCTGAGGTATATATATAAAGGATACGCTGTGAAATGTGAACTTTAACCACGTAGAAAAGTTTGCCAAAATCTTGTTAACGTACATACACAGGTTACCAAGTAACGTTCTCCCGTACAGGACCACCGGCCGCTAGCAGGAGACAAAGACGATCGTCAGGTACTCTATTTAGCTTTATAAAGGATTTATATTAAAGACTTTTTCGCAACACCAGCTAGTATTAACCATTTAAATGGTGTTGAAGCTATATAAATTGCATGACTGAGTTTCATAATATTGTCATCTTATAACCTCTGTATACTTATTATCATATTTACGACTCAACGTCATTTTTTAAAGAAAATGGTCATATGGCGCTACACGTGCTTAGGATAATGTAAATACACATTTATTACAGAAAAACATCAATTTACACAATAACATATTGCCTTGTGAATATTTCTTTTCAGAGGCGCGACCAATGTTTGAGGCTGTGTAGTTTGAACCTTAACATAATGATACATTTATTTTAGGGGGGGGAGGGTGATTTTGAAGACAAATATTCATGTTTGATTGTAAAAGCATACAAAGATAAGCTATAACATACATTTTAGGGCCTTTTATTACCGTGAACTCTGTTTGGTTCTAAGCATGCTAAGCATGTTTCTGTTCCAGATACTAGTGTAGAGCAGGTGTCCTCCTCACTCGGTCGCAAACCACACATGAAAACAAGTGAGTTTTGTATACGGTTCATCATTTCCCTTATTAACACTCTTGTGATAATTTATATCCGTTTTCGTATGTGTGAGGGGGGGGGGGGGATTTACCGAACACTACGCTGGATGAACATTTTGTTGTTTTGACGACTGCTTAGTAAGAGCGGAGGAATTATGACTAAATGTATATATCAAGAAACCAAGAGTATTATGTTTATTGTAGTTGTGTGTACAGATATGGGGTGCCATGAACAGGAAACCCTTTCTCTCGCCTACAAAAATGCTGTGTTGACATCTCAATGGCAGGACTATTGTGACAATCTTTGTTATTTTTCATACTCTTTTCTAGGCTCCTCTCTCCCGATTGGTTCAGTGTGAATATGACAAAAACAATGTTATTTGGCACAGAAAAAAGAAATCAGTTTTCCTTGAATCGTAAAACCTTACGTTTCACCGAATAAATTTTATTATAAGTTTTACTCATAAAATATGTCGTCTAAAAACTGAATATCCTTTCTTCCATTTCATATATTTAAAAGGGCTATTGAATAATAATTATCGTTGATCTTCACATCACCATAGTATACAGGCAAAACTATTTTTTGTCATAGTCTTTCTTTATCACTTGAGTCGGTACTGCAAGGAATCAGCAACAACATAGGAAACTACCTTTAGTGCCCCATATTAAACATTTAAGAGATAAGTCCTTGAATTCACAGTGTATATGAATAGCTTGATTATTTTTAAAATTATTCGGTGTAAAGCAAAAATAGCAATCTGATTCATCCAGATTTCCTTGTATCATGTTAGTGATATAAATAAGACGCATATTTACTATAGAGATTAAGGAGTTATTTCCCTTCCTCTACGTTGTCAAAAATAAACATATTTCGTCAGTGGTAGACAGGTTGGTTAGCAGAACATATTGGTTAAGTCGGCTTACCTAAGCTTAAGTATATCTAGCACTTATCCAAATTTCATATATTGACAAGCAGATCTAATTAATAAATTGAGATTAAATAATACTTCGGTTTATATCACGAGGTGATGAATTGAGTCGGTGGTCAGACCAATTCAACTGAGATTGCTTCTTAGTTCATAAATTAACCCGGGACAAACTCTGTCCGTTACCCCGTGAAATTGACAAAAAGCAATTTGAATCCTTAATATATATATACTAGTAGCTAGCTGGGTCGGTATGTTTTCATGTATACATACAAAGCTAGGCAAATTAGTTTTAATACTAAATAAAAAGTAGGTAAGAATTCAGATGATTACATGTATTATATTCTAACTTACTTTATCTATTATTTTGTTGAGTGTTACAATATAGCTAACACTTGTACAACAGTAAAACTGGCAATTGTGTAACAGTAAAGCTAACATTTACATTACAAGTAAGCTAACAATTGTATAACAGTATAACTAACAATAACTTTTAAACGTGTCGCAACGTTTCAAGACCGACTGGTCCCTTTATCTAGCTATGACTGAGTGAGCGATTTGTATTGTTTACCGGTAGAACGATGTGACAAAAATGTATAATCCATATGTTACTCGACCCGAGACCGTATGCCTATCGATAGAGAGGGTATACACACTGTATCGAATAGATTACTGGTATGGTGTCGATCTAGCCCCCTCTCCCCGTTAGGTCAATATCGGTTCATACAAATGACTATGCTGGTGTCCCCCGTTGTCTCTGTTAATCCTACCAATGACCTATTTCATACAGTGTGTATACACTCTCTACCAATAGGCGTAATTTCCAGGGTCGAGTGTAGCTAACAATAATGTTAGAGTAAAGCTAGAAATGAACAATTATATCAAAATACAGCAAACAATTCCCAAACCTCATTAATGAGTTCTAGAAGGACGAAACAGCTGTATGATGCAATGCCATTCATTTTGGCATGCTGTATCTATCATCAGGTTTTAAAATTCAATCACCTCTGTGTGTGACATGTACAAACTTCGATTATGCGACAAATGGATCCATTTATGATCTTCTTGTGAGTAATTCGTTAATGTGTTTTGGCAGTAGATGACCTTGACCTTGAGAGCCCCAGAGGCCCAGAACGACCACCTCTACCAAAAGTCGAACTTCTAAACCGCGGTGAGTAAATTACAAGCACTATAAAAAGTAGCAAAAACTGGCATACTTATCTTTTAATATTGCAGTTAACTAATGCCAACACCAGTCATATGAAATGTTTAAATCGTGACTGTACTGCTATATGCAGGTTCAACTTCCGGTGTCGGTCGAAGAGCTTTTGTTACAATTGTTTTTTGTGGAATATTAAACATAACCCACATCATGGCAATTCCAATTTAATTACAACAAGTATGCAACAGTTTTGAGTATGCTATTAGTTATTCCTCCCAATCAAATTTTGTATGTATATCACGTACAAAGGGACAGTATCACTAGAAACTTGCACCAGATAAATAGAACATTAAATATCCCCGGGAATTCGATAAAATTCGATATATCAATGTGATTTTTTTTAAATATCACAAAACAGAAATGTTCTTAAGAGACCTTCATACGGTCGTACTATAAGTGGAGTACATGAAGTTCCATAATTTGACCTCTCATCTGACATGTACACTTTGAGTTCTTTTGTTTTATATTGTGAGCAGCAATGTATTGGCTCTCCAGCTGTTACGGTATATATATAATTAATATTTTAATAGGAGTTAATACATAACCGTAGTTAATGCTATACATAAACATTACATAACATGTGAACCTAAGGAGGGCCCCTCAGTCAAAAACGTTATCTTCAGTTTCAGAACTATCAGAAATGTTAGTCATTAGCTAACGAAGCAAATTCCTAGCTGGAATATGCTTAAAATTAATCGCAGAATCATGTTAGAAAATGCTCCCAATATAATATTATAATAGTTCTATGAAATGGATACCTTGACTGTTTATATATTTTTTACGCAAAAATGAGTTTATATCCAGTTAGTTATGTACACCCAAGTTGTTACAATTAGAACGTTGATGGTCACGGGTTGTTATCCTTTACAAATCACCCATTTTGGGGGGTTTTCGGAGGTACCTGTTGCTGTGGTGTAGGTTTGAGTAACTAGTATTATCCGGCTAGGCAAATAAATAGTCGAAATTTTGGCAGGAAAGAGTCACAATTGTCCTTTTTTTGTAACTTATGTTAAGTACATGTAGATGTACATTAAATCTGATCTACCGTCTGATATGCATCTTCAAGGACAATCAATTTCCAAGGTAGTGAATTAACATAAACAATACTACCCTAGTTGCTCCAAGATTAGTTTACTTTAACCAGTGGTAAGTGAACATTTCCAATTATTACTTATAAGAATCAAGTGTTTTTAATTGCAAATTAAATCCTCAAAATACATCAATCTGATCTGTCAAAACAAAACTATAGCAGTAAAATGATATCAGCGGTTCGAAGGTTTGTTGTATTCCTATTTAAAACTTTTCCCTTACCATTGATTATTTCTTACCAACATTTGTGCGGCCTTGTCACTTTGTACATTACACCGTCTAGTTATAGGAAGTTATAAGATGACCCAAACCAACAACGCGTGCAAAGTATATTTCGCTTCACGACTTATTAAACTTGTAACAGCCTGCGAGCGTGTATGTGTTACATAAGATAAAATCATGAATATGAATATATAACCTAACTTTAATGATTTGTGGTATGAAGATAAACCTCTCTATTTATAGTTCTGCTAACGTTACACACGTGATCATTGAAGCTAAAAGTAGCAACAAAAGTAGCTATATCCGAGAGATGGTAGTTATGGGCGGATAAACAAAGACATCTTTATACCTATAAATACGATATCTTTGTCTTGTTCCCCGACGGCCCCCTGTAATCTGGGACAATAAAAACTTTCTCCTGAAGACTTATCCCTGTGTGCATGGATTTGTAGGTGTTGAATTCATGCTATATAGACACTCCAATAACACACGATGTATTCATGCTACGATATACATGTTTATTATATAAATTTAATACGCCACAGCAAAATAACTAATGTAAGGCTCTCGAAGGTTCTTCTATAAAATGAAACCAAATGTCTGTCAGAGAAGTTCTGTCTCAACGTTTGTGAACGGAAGGGGTCAGTGAAAGGGTTAAAATAACAATATCATATCTTATACCAAACTCACCTCCAATGTCTTATTCATATATGATAGTAAAAATGAATATTTTTTATTAATATTACAATATAATTTCAGATTGCGGGAGAAATGAAGTACACAGTTTACCGACCATTAACCAAGTTCCGGAACCAGCTACAGGTTCCTCACGGCCGGAGCGTTCTATAACACGTAAGTATGTAAAGACCCACCTGTTCACGTCTGTATTTTAGGCTGTTTGCACAGACGTCATGTTCACCTTGTACTCTTCATGTCATGTATCCTTTATATATATTTATTTATATGCATATTGAGATAAATGTCTTCTTACTTAACGTGAAATGGTGATTTGTAAGCCTTTTTTTCTACTGAAGCTAATACTATTATTGATGTAGGGTAAAGCGTGTTAGAGTAATTTTACAAATCGTTTAGGACGCTATATCAATGATGTGTATTATTATTTTTATTATAAATGCTATGATAAACAGTTTTCTAGTAAATGCGTCCCTTTGCGATATTGATATCACATAGACACGTGTTACTCAAAACCTGACGGACAACACATTGCTTCGAGGTAAAATGATTACTAAATATTAATGGGCACTTTTTATTGACACTGTCATGATTTCATTGGAAAAATGATATTACCTGTAGCATGTGAGTCTGACGAAAATCAATTTTGTACAAATAATTGGCATCAAGCCTAATGAAAATTGGAAGTAGCGTGATTGGATGAAGAGCCATCCAGTATGTTCAAATAAATACTTGGATCCGTTTGCTATGGCAGGATGACCTCGACCGACTCTCTATGTCACGTGGGTCAAATTAAAACAAAAATTAACAAGTTAGGATAGTTGAACAATAGCATGGTTTGTTGTCTCGATATCATAGTTGTTTTAATGAATGACGATGTTCAAGATTCACTTCTTTTTTATTGAGATTCATTAAAAATCTTTCGTAATGAACAAAGTTGATATTTTTCTACATAGTACAAGAGTAAATAAACTAAATCCCTTACATTGTAAGACATTATACAAATATCGAGTTTACAAAATACAGATTAACACACATAAATAAACATACATATACCGGTACACATATTTCAATAATTTTGCGTATAACTCATACGGTTCTGTGGAAACACATATGTGTGTCTAAATTTAAGCGTTAAACTGCTTTCAGATGCGGTTCATAGGCAATATGAATGCCCACTGCATAACAGGAAAATGACATGAACCACGTTAGTGGTCCATGTGTCATTTCCTGTAATGCAAGAGTATCCTCATGCATATGATCCACCTCTGCAAGCAGTTAAATGTGTAGGTCAACAGTTTCACTTATTTCTATATTTTAAAACAAAAATAATACCAAAATCCAACCAAGATTTATTTGCATTGAGGAACAAATTTTGCATGATAACAATCATCAATTTTTTTTTTAGACATAATAAATATGTCATTTTGTTAGTCATTTTGATTATTTACGTTATTTGTTAACGACGTCAAACAGCGGAGACATGTCCGCTTGATTTGAATACTGAGTAATGGGGTCCTCATGGAAAACATGTCGTGGCGCTGATTTTGGTTGATATTGAAGAAACGTTTTAAATGTTAAGTTCGTAAATAAACTAGAAATAGACATGATATTGCTGGTTGACTTCAATGCGAAAGCTGGATATAAACTACTTTTTATTAAGCTGCTACATTGTATTTTACAAATGTTTCCACAAAAATTAAAAACCCGTGAACTTTTTAACGGTATATTGAGTTGAGTTATATGTCTTGAAATGACACTGAATGCGCGCCAACAGGCTACAGAATGTATTTTTTTATATATATTTGCTTTTCCTTTTTAAGGGGCCACGTTTCACTTGGATGAAACAACTTTGCATAAATCTCGGCTCCTTTCGAAGGACAGAAAAAACCTGTTCAACAGGAAGCAGACTCGACTACAACCTGAGGACGAACACGATGAAAGAAAACCAAACCACGCCACGGTTAGGAGTAGGAGAGAACATAAACTCCAACGATACCAAGGAGTCAAGTCATCCTCACAAATAATCTTACCAGAGGACGTTTACTTCGAGGTGGATATCAGCTACCAATTTGATCATAATCTTGCCAATGACGTCACCATCTTTGAAATTGGGTTTGCGCATGACAGCGTTGTTGACAGTTCTGACACCGTCGCTAATGATAAACACTCATGTTCTATCGCGGCTCACGCCTGCTCTAACGATGGCACAGTTCGACTTGGGTTCAGGGGAAACGGCAAGCTGATATCCTCTCAGACCATACAGGCAGGCACTTCAGGTTCTTGTCATGTGATGACTCTGGGCTTAAATGCAGACACCCAAAACCAGTCTGTCATTGTGCTTGACAAGTCCCGTGATATGGTCAGTTTGTTCAAGTTCACTAATCAAGACTTCAGGGCGGGTATTTGGCCTGTGTTTGGAGTGTTTAATCCACAGAAAGTTGACGTTGTACTTAGTCTTAAATCAGGCACCGATGTAACCTATATACCATTCCATCTACTTAAGTAATCGCAATAGCACATTCCCTCTAAGTGTACCAGCCAATATAATTGCATTTGTTTAGAATATCGGTTCTTTAGGGAAGGAAAGTAATACAGATATCGTGCATATACATATATATCAGCTAAAATAGTATTGTTTGACATGTGTTCCAAAACAAATTTTGAACAACAGAAAACCAATATTCCAGTAACTTGGATCATGATCCGGTGTTTTCTCATGGTTTTATCTTCTTGCATAGATATTATCTTTCATAACGATGAACTTTAATCGTTTGACTAGATCGTCATATAGCTTTAAATTCAGAGAAGGCTGCTCTGCTTGCTTCAGAGAGGTTATTACTGGTCTTATCAGCTTTTTGTGACATTGTTAATTTCAAATATTACTTGGCATGATATCATTTAATCATTTAAAACCAAATTATCTGCATTAAGTGACACAATAATATAATTTGGCAATGTATGCAGGTATCTCTATTTATACCTAAACATATTTTGAAATCGCGTTCAACAGTTTCAATGATTTCCAGCAGGCTTAACTTTCTGTCCTTAGATGGTCGAGCCTGACCCTGTATGTGTTACACATAACGTATGAGATTCATATGAGATTGATGAGACCTAGCCGAATACATATTTTTTCGGCAGGGTCTCTTTAATGTGATTAAAAACGTGCTATGCATAACGTTTTAATCTGGACCCGGTAATGGGTTTTGCTTACAGTCAGTGATAAAACGATATTGTCACGAAGTTATTCAAAGCGTGACACGTTGAGCGTGAGACATAAGCACATGGTTCCAAAGGTTAAATGTTAATTACGTCCTACAATATAAACACATCATCACAACGGTAACATGTGAAGTATTCCTAGGATATAAACCCACGATCATAACAGTACAATGTGAAGAAATTTCTAAGATATAAGCACGTGATCACAACGGAAACCTGTGAAGTACTTCTTTATATATAAACACGTGACCACAACAGTATAGTGTACCATGTGAAATAATTTCTAAGATAAGAACATATCGAGGGTTCATTGCCAATAGGTGCTTTCTGGATTATTTTACTTTTCGAGATAATTGAGATTTAAGGTTTTAAATATATATTTATTAATCATGCTTTAAATGAGAATGTTATTATTTGGTAATATTGATGGCCTGTACTTTTTACTGTACAGTACTTTTGGTCATATCTGTCTTTTAAACTGCCATATTTGGTCAAAATGCTCGATAGTTCCTTTTGGCCGGCGAAATTTACCTCAATAATAATGAGCAAAAAGGTGCTATCCGAAGAGTTTTGCTCCTTTTCAGTTGAGTTGAAATTGCTTGAAAGAGGCAACTGCTAATTTTTGCAATATCCTGCCTTTTTAATCCATAGCTTTTTAAAAGAACGCCAAACCTTCGCTGGTGAATTGCTAGAAAAGTTTTCTTTCTTTGTTTTTCATTTATGCTTTTCTTCATGGTTTTGGCGATTTCAGATAGGGCTGTTTCGGAATCACCTGCTACTGTAAATAGTTTTCCGGTCTTTTTTGCTGTTATCTTCTTGTTTCCATGCTACCAGTCCCTCAGAAGGTTATTGTCAGTTTCGTCACTGCTTGTTACAGACGGCAATGAATCAGAATCAGGATCAGATTCATTTACTAGTTGTTTTGTAAAAATGAATGCATCCATGTTGCCTTTATAATCGGGTCCGTTGGATCACTGTATTGGACATTTTCATGAGAAAATTCAGGTTGATTCTCCTCCGTTAAGGTGTTTCCATTTTCTGAGGGAAATATCTAGTGGGACAATCTTTGTTGAGCATGTATCATTGTCATGTTCTTTGTAATATAGTCTGCGTATCAGGTTGCAAACTGTTCGGCCAGAAGGTGCTATCTGTGACATAACACCTTTTGGCAGGCTAACAGTAGTAGATAGCACATTCTGGCAATCAGGTTTTGTGAAATACTTAGATAGCACCTAATGTAATTATTAATTATTTTCATCAATAATTGGAATTTTGTACAGATTTCACAGATTAAGGGTAATGTATTATTGAATCAAATGGAGCAATAAAACATTTTTTGACAAATATGGCAGATAGCACCTTCTGGCAATGATCCCTCGACATCATCACAGCTGTAACATGTGAAGTATTTCCTAATATATAAGCTCATGACCACAACGGTAACATGTAGAGTATTTCCTTGTATATCAACATATGATCACAACGGTAACATGTGAAGTATTTCCTTGTGTATCAACACATGATTACAACGGTAACATGTGGAGTATTTCCTAATATATCAACACATGATCACAACGGTAACATGTGAAGTATTTCCTTGTATATCAACACATGATCACAACGGTAACATGTGGAGTATTTCCTGATATATCAACACATGATCACAACGGTAACATGTAAAGTATTTCCTTGTGTATCAACACATGATCACAACGGTAACATGTGGAGTATTTCCTGATATATCAACACATGATCACAACGGTAACATGTGGAGTATTTCCGAGGATATCAACACATGATCACAACGGTAACATGTGAAGTATTTCCTAATATATCAACACATGATCACAACGGTAACATGTGAAGTATTTCCGAAGATATCAACACATGATCACAACGGTATCATGTGAAGTATTTCCTAAGATACGAACACAGGATCATAACAGTACCATGTAAAGTACTTCCTTTGATATAAAACGATATTGCGTTACAATGTATTTGTAACTGATCTTATTTATTAGACTATTAAGACCATTCTCAGTTCAATTATGAAATGTCTTATTTGTTCAAATCTGTTTTGTTATCATATGATTTGTTTTCTCTCGCAAAATGTTTGAATAAACATAAAGTATTATAAACGTGTCATGTATCTATTAATTTCCCTCTCTCATCTAAAATAATCAAAATGATATAATTCGGGAGACCTTATGATACTAATTACATTTGCATTCCTGTGCGTATAAGGAGTAGTATATAATGAACCAAGAGCTACTGTTGTAATTTGTAACGTGTCAATGCAAATAATCTGTCCACGAATACATTTTATGATACAAGAATCTGAGTACTGGGCCGTGTGAAACATCAAACTTCATTTGTAGTATAACATTTCACTCAAACCATTAAACAGACCAGCTTATACAACTTGTTTAGTTTCATGGATGTCTCTGTAACATGAATACCAGGCGTGTAACTCAAACCATGTTATGTCATGGAGATATTTATAACATGTAAAAAAGAAAATAGTAAAATGATAGTGGGGACCTACTCTTACAAGTGCACAACAGGCAATGCTGGTATAAGGCTACAAACCCATTTTGAAGAATGTTCTAGATTTCTTTAGCGGGTAAATAATATCGTACCACATTTTATGTTAGCTGGTCTTTTGTATTCTGTTACAAAACTTACGTCACTGGAACGAAAGGAGAATGATTTAAATTTCGTGTACTTAATTTACTTGTGTGTAAATATTTCCTGACTAATATGTTGAATGATTCCACATCAACACATGTAAACGCCATCTAATTCATATCGATAATTTTCGCGTTGGGTAAACTAGCGCAAAAGTACAAACACGCGATAACGCAATGGATATTTGTAGATTCTATGGGTCATAGATATATGGGATGATTTTCGAGCCATCGTCGACGCGAACATTTCCACATCACGATCTGTTGCAAGGGTCACACTGCGAATATCTCCACACGCTGAACTTTTTATTTTTACAATATTTCGTCATCGCAAATCACACAGTCCCTCGAGATTCATCGATATAGATGCCTGAGAACCTTCTAAAATAAACTAAACTGATAATCTGAGAGAAAAAAACGACTTCAATTAACTTTGTTAATGAACATTGAAATCCGGACATCTCATGTTAACATTGTTAACACGGACTAACCAGGTATTCCGGAAACATCTATATGTACAACAAGATAAGCTGATAGCTATAATTAATCTTGGTATCCGTACTATGCTGTTAATTGTTAAATGAATAAGAAAACACGTCTGTCTGAACCGAAAACTCTCTTAGCACTGAACCACGTGACCTCTACGTCATCTCAAGGGGTCCCTCAGTAGGTTGATTTTACAGAATCGAATTTCGTGTGTGAAAACTGTCAACAAAGTACAAACCTGGTACACAAGAGACGTTCCCGTTTACTCCGTAAGTTCAGACTAGCCTGGATTTATAAGAAAAAATCCATTTTGGCGTTAATACCAATACAGCAGGCGTTTGTGCACATATATGTATGTGTGCTATCTATTTATACACACAATGGTTAATAAATATAAATACAAATGAAATATATGTCACATGTATATAGCTATTTTAAATGTTGTCCATGCGATCAGGCTAAGCTCGTTATTCTACGCGAAAGAATAGATGTGACGTCACATCTACAGAGCATTAAAATTTAATACACGACTCTAGTTCTTCGAGCTTCACGCTTCACTGCGGTTTAAAGCCTCGATTATAACCAAACCATGTTAACACACTCATACGTTACTGATTCATAACAAACTGAGTAGTCGATGTGCTGTCGTTTTGAGGTAAGTGATTATGTTCATGCTAGATTGTCTTCTACATTCTACACTGTACGTGCTACCATGTCCAACTAGATAACATTGAACGTGATACACAAACATATATATATATATATATCTTTGAAAAAGACGGTTCTAATGCTTATATGGTGTCTGAAGTAAACTTAAAAATTAATTGTAGGCCTTATCAAATGCAAAAAGGACACTGTATTTGTTCAACAGCAAACAAAAATTGAGATATTGATAGGGAGTCTATGAGAAAATTATTCGATGAATGATTGTGATTTCTTATTGCTTTGATGCAAATTCATGTATTCCCTATTTGAAGGAATTTCTGATAAATATAACGAGAAGACAATATATATCCTAAGTATTACCTTAGTTATACTACTATTTTGATACGAAGACCCTATATATCATAAGAAGTGCCTTACATCTACTATAAATATAATAATCAGGCCACATATAACACAAGTACATGTCTTACCTTAGTTCTACGATTAATATAATAAGCAGGCCATATATAACACAAGTACATGTCTTACCTTAGTTTTACGATTAATATAACATATTTATAACATGTAAAAAAGAAAAATAGTAAAATGATAGTGGGGGCCTACTCTTACAAGTGCACAACAGGCAATGTTGGTATAAGGCTACCCAACCAATTTGAAGAATGTTCTAGATTTCTTTAGCGGGTAAATAATATCGTACCACATTTTATGTTAGCTGGTCTTTTGTATTCTGTTACAAAACTTACGTCACTGGAACGAAAGGCGAATGATTTAAGTTTCGTGTACTTAATTCACTTGTGTGTAAATATTTCCAGACTAATATGTTAAATGATTCCACATCAACACATGTAAACGCCATCTAATTCATATCGATAATTTTCGCGTTGGGTAAACTAGCGCAAAAGTATAAACACGCGATAACGCAATGGATATTTGTAGATTCTATAGGTCATAGATATATGGGATGATTTCCGAGCCATCGTCGACGCGAACATTTCCACATCACGATCTGTTGCAAGGGTCACACTGCGAATATCTCCACACGCTGAACTTTTTATTTTTACAATATTTCGTCATCGCAAATCACACAGTCCCTCGAGATTCATCGATATAGATGACTGAGAACCTTGTAAAATAAACTAAACTGATAATCTGAGAAAAAAACGACTTCAATTAACTTTGTTAATGAACATTGAAATCCGGACATCTCATGTTAACATTGTTAACACGGACTAACCTGGTATTCCGGAAACATCTATATGTACAACAAGATAAGCTGATAGCTATAATTAATCTTGGTATCCGTACTATGCTGTTAATTGTTAAATGAATAAGAAAACACGTCTGTCTGAACCGAAAACTCCCTTAGCACTGAACCACGTGACCTCTACGTCATCTCAAGGGGTCCCTCAGTAGGTTGATTTTACAGAATCGAATTTCGTGTGCGAAAACTGTCAACACAGTACAAACCTGGTACACAAGAGACGTTCCCGTTTACTCCGTAAGTTCAGACTAACCTGGATTTATAAGAAAAATCCATTTTGGCGTTAATACCAATACAGCAGGCGTTTGTGCACGTGTATGTTTGTGTGCTATCTATTTATACACACAATGGTTAATAAATATAAATACAAATGAAATATATGTCACATGTATATAGCTATTTTAAATGTTGTCCATGCGATCAGGCTAAGCTCGTTATTCTACGCGAAAGAATAGATGTGACGTCACATCTACAGAGCATTAAAATTTAATACACGACTATAGTTCTCGAAGCTTCACGCTTCACTGCGGTTTAAAGCCTTGATTATAACCAAACCATGTTAACACACTCATACGTTACTTGTGCTGTCGTTTTGAGGTAAGTGATGATGTTCATGCTAGATTGTCTTCTACATTCTACACTGTACGTGCTACCATGTCCAACTAGATAACATTGAACGTGATACACAAACATATATATATATATATATCTTTGAAAAAGACGGTTCTAATGCTTATATGGTGTCTGAACTAAACTTCAAAAATCAATTGTAGGCAACATCAAATGCAAAAAGGACACTGTATTTGTTCAACAGCAAACAAAAATTGAGATATTGATAGGGAGTCTATGAGAAAATTATTCGATGAATGATTGTGATTTCTTATTGCTTTGATGCAAATTCATGTATTCCCTATTTGAAGGAATTTCTGATAAATATATCGAGAAGACAATATATATAATAAGTATTACCTTAGTTATACTGCTATTTTGATACGAAGACCCTATAAATCATAAGAAGTGCCTTACATCTACTATAAATATAATAATCAGGCCATATATAGCACAAGTACATGTCTTACCTTAGTTCTACGATTAATATAATAAGCAGGCCATATATAACACAAGTACATGTCTTACCTTAGTTTTACGATTAATATAACATATTTATAACATGTAAAAAAGAAAAATAGTAAAATGATAGTGGGGGCCTACTCTTACAAGTGCACAACAGGCAATGTTGGTATAAGGCTACCCAACCAATTTGAAGAATGTTCTAGATTTCTTTAGCGAGTAAATAATATCGTACCACATTTTATGTTAGCTGGTCTTTTGTATTCTGTTACAAAACTTACGTCACTGGAACGAAAGGCGAATGATTTAAGTTTCGTGTACTTAATTCACTTGTGTGTAAATATTTCCAGACTAATATGTTGAATGATTCCACATCAACACATGTAAGCGCCATCTAATTCATATCGATAATTTTCGCGTTGGGTAAACTAGCGCAAAAGTATAAACACGCGATAACGCAATGGATATTTGTAGATTCTATGGGTCATAGATATATGGGATGATTTCCGAACCATCGTCGACGCGAACATTTCCACATCACGATCTGTTGCAAAGGTTACACTGCGAATATCTCCACACGCTGAACCTTTTATTTTTACAATATTTCGTCATCGCAAATCATACAGTCCCTCGAGATTCATCGATATAGATGCCTGAGAACCTTCTAATATAAACTAAACTGATAATCTGAGAAAAAACCCACTTCAATTAACTTTGTTAATGAACATTGAAATCCGGACATCTCATGTTAACATTGTTAACACGGACTAACCTGGTATTCCGGAAACATCTATATGTACAACAAGATAAGCTGATAGCTATAATTAATCTTGGTATCCGTACTATGCTGTTAATTGTTAAATGAATAAGAAAACACGTCTGTCTGAACCGAAAACTCCCTTAGCACTGAACCACGTGACCTCTACGTC